AAAGATATATAATTGAACCATCTTCAAGTGAGTATTCCTCTATAAGCCGGTGCTCCAAACACTGTAAGGTAGGATACACCATGTAATAAGCTCAACGAATGCAGCACTGGTTATAGGTTGTATATTTTTGATCAGTGACCTCCAATGCGGCCAAACCATATTATACTATAGGTATATGGCAGTTGAATTGCTTCATATATTCCCAATTGGGTCTAAAGGCCTTGGTCGAATGAAACGGTACAGGAACGCAGTTTCCTGTCTGGGGTAACTAGACACTCCGATCAATGTATGAATTGGTTCAAGACAATGTTGTCGATAAGCATGCAGTAGTGCTTATGGTTCATTATGTAGCTTATATTATATAGGCACTACCCTGCCGTAGGTTTTCTGTTTTACATCACATCAAACATAAAGCCTTGGAGCTGTCTGAAAGCATTCCATAACAAGTCGGAGAATATTATCTGCTAGGTGCATTGTCTCCGATGCTTGCCACTTTGCCAACGACTTGAACGGTTGAGGGGATTTCTAAGTTATTCTGGAAACCTTTCAGGATTTGTTGTACGTGGACAAAGGTTACACTCAAACCAAGCAGGGATATATGTTAGAGGATGCCAACAACACTGCCAATAGAGGCAGACCTTGTTCTACATCACAGACGACGTTCATTAGACAACGCACTGAAATACGACACTAGTCTAGAGACCGAGGCACGTATAAGTCAGAATATCTCCAACATCTTGAGAGCAAGGGTGTCAACCAAATAATCACTCGACCAAAAAGCGTCTAGACGACCATTCCCAGCGTAGCATGAGTGACAGTGAAGAAATGTTCAACAAAAGGTATGCCAAGAGCTGGTCGGCATCTGGTTTAAAGGAAGTAGCGCAGGAAGGGGATCAGAGACATACACACGGAGTAGCTACCAAAACATTTGCCACAGCGTGGCTGTATCCTCGACTATCATTCGACCGCATCTGATGGAGTCCGAATCTAATCCAGCGCAACAATTCGAAACAGCATGTGCTATTTGAGCTGATATAATCAGGAACGACGGCTAGCTCTGAGCTGCGGACGAGTGTAACGCCACCAGTGTTGCGGATTTGCCCCCATCGCATATTACACCCTCAGCTGACTGGGGCCAATACGAGTGCTCATCGCATTGACGTAGAGGAGACGCGTTGGAGCAAAGAAGGGAAAATGAAGTAAATTGAAATGCACAGATCCAACATCCAGCTGCATCCGCTGACAACCGGGTCATGGATCGCAGTATTCCTCCGGTTGCCTGATCGCAGGAGCGCAGAGCAATCTTCATGAACCTGTGCAGCTTCACGATAGTTTAACCTGCCTGTGGCAAGAGGTCAAGCGAAACCAACTGACGGGGGCAATTGAGCACGTGTGCTGCCATGGAGGGAATAATTCTGCGAGAGCTGGTGTCTTCTTGCAGCGCCAGACGCGCCATGGCAGGTAATTGCATCTTTCCAGAACTCTTCTTTGCTCTCAGTCATATTTGCCCTGTTGACGTGGGAGCACACGTGGAGGAGTCCCCGCATTTGATAGGTCGATGGAGTAAACCACGCCAAGGACCGCCAAGGCGCGCCGAGACTCCACCAAGAGCACAATTCAGCCAATCTGCGGCTTCGTTCATGTGCCTCGACCCTCTTCCCGCTTATTAGGATGGATGCCAAGAACATGCTCCAGTCTTGCTGCTCTTGCAATCTTGCATCGCTCCGACACAAGCAGGCGAAGATAGGCGAAGCGTGCCTTGGCCGGTTGCCTGCTGAAGTCATTTGAGTGGTTTTCCTCTGCCAACCGCGGGCTTGTCGGGAAATCTCGAACTCGACGGCCCCTGGGATGCGGGCAATACCAAGACGCTTGTGATACGCCCACTTTCCCCAGGGTGCGAATCAGACAAAGGCGCGGAGGAACGTGTCAGGACAAGTATACGAACCGGGCATGATTGTCTTGCCACGAGCTCTGCGAACGCACCTGCGGCTGCGTTAGCGGACGTCTCAAGCATGGTTCCAGGCGTAGGATGAAATGTCGCGTGAGGTAGCGATGCAATGGATAAAAGCCCCGTGTCTCGCTGCTTGTGTGAATTCAGGATCAAGCGCTCAACAACTTGTCTCTCTTCACACATACAGTCAAGATGGTGCTCAGCCAATATGACTACGTCTTCGCCATTGGCACACTGTTTGCCATGCTTGATGCGTACAACAACGGTGCAAGTAAGTCAATGTCCCTCATTCCTGCTCTTTGTGACAAGGTTGGCTGACATTACCTGTTTGAAAGATGATGTGGCCAACTCCTGGGCTACCAGTGTCTCTTCTAGATCGGTCACCTACCGACAAGCCATGATCTTCGGCACCGTCTTCGAGATGCTCGGTGCCATCACGGTCGGTGCTCGGACGGCTGACACTATCAAGAACGGTATTATCCCCAACTCGGCCTTCCGCGGTGATGCCGGTGTGCAGATGTTGGCATTTACCTGTGCCCTCGCTGCTGCTTCCTCCTGGGTTATGTGGTGCACCAAGCACTCGGCCCACGTCTCATCGACCTACTCCCTCATCTCTGCCGTTGCCGGTGTCGGTGTTGCGACCGTCGGTGCTTCCAAGGTTCAGTGGGGCTGGAACAAAGGAAAGGGTCTGGGAGCTATCTTTGCAGGCCTGGGCATGGCTCCCGCCATCTCGGCCGGCTTCGGTGCCAGTATCTTCATGCTGATCAAGCTCATTGTGCACATGCGCAAGAACCCCGTGCCATGGGCCGTTTACACTTCTCCCTTCTGGTTCCTCATCGCCGCCACGATCTGTACCCTGTCCATTGTCTACAAGGGTTCGCCCAGTCTCGGTCTGAGCAAGAAGCCCGGCTGGTATATTGCTGCTGTGACCATGGGCTGCGGTGGTGGTGTCGCTATCCTCTCCGCCATCTTCTTCGTACCCTTTGTGCACGCCCGTGTGATCAAGCGGGACCACGGCGTCAAGTGGTGGATGTTTATCCTCGGCCCTCTGCTCTTCAAGCGTCCTGCTCCGGAGGGCGCCGACCGTGCCCCAGTCCCCAACTACGCCGTCGTCCAGGACGAGGAGCACGAGGAAAACGCTGCCCAGGCGTCCCCCGCTCCCTCCGATCGGACCCTTTCCGAGTTTGACGGCAAGGACCCCAAGACCGATATCGAACCCATTACCTCGCCTGCCATCCCCACCAACGAAAAGAGCCTCGTCGCCAACGAGGCTAAGCAGCTCACCTACAAGGAAATCATGGAGGAATCGAACGCGCGCCTGAACGCCCGACTCCTCAAGAAGCGAGGACCTCTTGGATGGGCGATGCGCACCCTCCGTGACAACCCGATGGGCCCCGGCGAAATCTACGAACTGAAGAACATAAAGATCCTCCTGAAGCGCATCCCCGCCATAATCACCGCCGGCTTGCTGTACGGTCTGCACTACGATATCCACGCCGCGCAGTCCGGTATCCACGGTACGCCCGAGGGAGAACGGATGGAGCGTGTCTACGCCCATGCGGAAAAGTACCCCAACGAGGTCGAGCACACGTATTCGTTTGTGCAGGTTCTGACCGCTTGCACTGCATCCTTTGCTCACGGCGCCAACGATATCGGTAACTCGGTCGGTCCCTGGGCCGTTATCTACTCGGCCTGGAAGACGGGTAACGCGGCTGCGTCCAAGGCCCCAGTGCCTGTCTGGCAGCTTGCCGTTCTCTCCGGATGTATCTCCATTGGTCTGATCACCTACGGCTACAACATCATGAAGGGTAAGTGCACCGTTTGTACTCCACGATCGAGACACAGAAACTAACTGAGCAACAGTCATGGGTAACAAGATCACCTACCACTCCCCCAGCCGCGGTTGCTCGATGGAAATGGGCGCCGCCATCACCGTGCTGGTCTTCTCGCAGTACTCTCTCCCCGTCTCGACCTCGATGTGCATCACCGGCGCCACGGTCGGCGTCGGTCTCTGCAACGGTACCCTCAAGGCCGTCAACTTCCAGCGTGTGGGTCTGCTGCTGCTGGCCTGGATCATGACCATTCCCATCGCTGGTACCCTTGGGGGTGTCCTGATGGGCCTGTTCATCAACGCTCCTCACTTCAAATCATAAAATTTGTTTGAAAGTGTTCTATTCGCTTTTTCTTTGTGTTATAGACTGATTGTCTGCGATACCATCTGGGCTAGGTTTAGGGTTAAGGGTTTACCATAATTGATTCAGATATTGATACCATGCTATTAGCAATGCATTCGAGTGGAGTGGGTAGAGAAAAGCCCTAACTTCGCCATTGTTCCCAAAATTCATAGGTTTATATCGTGTCGTAGTCTTAGAGATCTGCCTTATACAGTCAGCAGCACGAAGCCATTGTCAATCACCAAGGCTGGAAGTGGTTGAACTTGGTTAGCTCAATGAAGATAACCGGTTTTGATAGAGTTTTTATAAGCTATAAGGACAAATTCAAAATGACAGATAACGATACAAGCTCGGTCCCATGCGAACCTTCAAATGACAAAGATCAACCCACATCAGACGGCGCTGGATTTCGGTTAATAGGAACGATTCAATAGGGCTTGACCTGGACACTGTGGCTTTCTCTGTTGAAGTTACATTTGCTTAGAGGCTGGTCGTAGTTTGAGGCTGCGTCTAGAAGGGTAGATAAAGCCATGGGAAATACACAATACGATCGCGAACGAAGCAGCATCGACTTGGCTGATAAGCCATGCACATCCTAGCCAGTATCTGCACTTTTGAATAACCTAAGTCCATCCACGAGCTTCCCATTTCTACTTTTACAAGAGCAAAACAGCGCCTGGTCCAAATATGGATCTCCTTGATGGCTGACATAAAAAAATTCCAAAAAGCCAACGCAATATCAACCACATCGACTATAAATAGCAGTTAAAAAGTCATAAAACACACGAATGGTAGGCAAAGGGACCAGTTATGCGGGAAGGACACCGCTACACTACACGGGTCTACAGCTTTATTCAATCCATAGCAGCCGTAGATTAGTTCCGTCCCAGTAATTTGGACGTCTTCCGTTCTGCCTTCGAGGCATTTTTGGCCCCAGCCCTAAGAGTCTCAATTGCTCTTTCATGCCCCTCCTTTCCTTTCTGGCCGTCGTACGCATATGGGTATTTATGAGCAAACCCAGATCGGGAAGCAGCAGCACTGGAAAATGACGGAATGATGTAAGTGAATGAGCGTTCAGATATTGTGTACGTACTTACGTGTTAGCTGCCAGCCTGGTGTCATGCGAAAGGTCACGAGCCATTTCTATATTCTGTCGATAGTGGTCGTCGTTTCTCGGAGTTTTGAGGAGAGTCTTATATTTGCTGTCCGTCTTTGCCTTGGTCTCTGAATATAGATCGCCATACTTCTTATATTCATTATAGTCCTTCTTCACATCAGAAGTATATGGCTGTGGGCGCTTGCCGTAGCGATCAGGCGTCACAGGGTGCCTGATATCACCATAGGCCAAAGATGCTGAGCGCTTATTCTCGACATTGGAAAAGTTCGGACCGTAGTAGCTCGGCCCAGGTCGTTCACTGCGATGAGACTTGTGATAAGACACATCATACTCTCCGTCCGAGCCTCTTCTATCCAAGGCAACTCTCTCCTTGTTCCAGTCGCGAGTCTGACCCCGGCTCATTGTGTATCGCACAGTACAGCAGGAAAAGGGAAGCCGAACAGGTGATGGATGTCGGACAAATGAAAGGACAGCTAGCAAGAGCAAGAGGTCCAGGGCTTTAGAGAATATACAAATATCGGCCAGAGTATTCGATGATCTCGACAATGTACAGGCCTACCCAGCTCGTGGACATACGGATCTTTATACCTTAGAAAAATCTCCTCTACAATCTAGAAAGCCATGATCTGCTGCCAATATAGATTAGCGCTTTAATTTTGAGCGAAGTACCTGGCGCGCGCATAGGAATGATAAAACACATATTGTTTTGCTAGTGCCTGATATACTTGCATTCGTTGTCATCCGTTCGACTTCGCAGCCACCCCGTTATCTCACGACCTATTTTAAGCCCAACATCTCGCAATATCCTGGGTTGCACTGCTGTTGGATGGTGCAATATCTCCTTCGACGAGACTTCCCAAAAATATCAGACGACTCGCTGCCTACGACTTGAATCCCTGGAGAAGGCGGCGTCTATCTTTTGTGTTGCTGTACTAACAGACGATGGGATATCTTATGCATCTACTGCTCCTTCCACAGTTAGATAATGTTCATTTGAAGGCAATCTCCTAACCATGTTTTATAGGCGAGTAGTAGATTGCTGAACACTCTATCGGACTCGGTCCATGCAAGGCGTTTATCGTAGTACATGGGAACTAACATCATTCTTAGAGGAAGCGTTCCTACTGTCACGCAGTCTCGTAGACCGTCTATATTTTCAAACCAAACAAAAGCCTGATAGGGCTAGGGCAGGGATGTATATTGATGGAGTACCGCAGCTATGGGAATAAGTCCTAGCTCGATAAATGGGCTCCGTGCATGGCGGTAAATTGACGCGCAACAGGCAAAGGGGGCACAGCAAACCAGTGGATGACAGTGAAAGAGTCAAGACAATTTAGCGCCGACTTTATTGTTGAATGCCCAATATGGAGACGAACATGCTTGGAAAAAGCGCCAGCAAAGCGCCCAGTGAAGACGATCCTTGCCGTATTACATAAGACGCCTAAAGTACGGAGTCATATGCCTCTCTGCTGCAGCTAACAAGCACATCTTCCTTTTTCTCCTCCCTCTTCGACAGCATTGATGTATGTCCTTACCGGAACCTTGACCTCGAGGAAACTTTACGGCGTCGTCAGTATGGAAGACTTAGTAAGATCCATGAAAAAAGCTCTGTCGGAATCACAAAATAGAATTATCTAACCAAGGTAACAGAGCCGGCCAACGTTCGAAGGTTTACCAGTGGAATTGCAGATTTCTATCTTATTCAATATCGATGACCTGGATTCCCTTCGATCGCTTGTATTTGCATCACCAACATATCACCGAGCATATCAGCTCGTGAGACAAGAACTTCTCTACACGCTTCTACAGAGATCTTACAACGGACTTGTAGACATCGCAGATGCTGTAGCTGCTGTTCGGTCCAGAGGCTTATACGCTGTCAAGCTATCGAATCGCGCAAAAATTATCGCCTTATTGGACAGCCGACGACGAAGTGAAGAAATCCGCCGCCTTAGATTGTCTTCATGGCCCTTTCCAGACGAACCTGCTGATATTGAGGAGACAATTCAACTACTGCATCTCCATAGAATGGCTACTTTTCTCCTCGATGATTACTCCAGGACAGCAGCCCGTCCTGAGTGGATGGACTTGGAGGAATGGAAGAATGAAATTCCACTGACCCTAAGCAGAATGGAACAGAGACGCTTTCTTCGAGCATTCTATCGGATGCAGATTTATGGAAACATATTCGGTCACATAGAAATTCCCCTGGGGGCAGATGACGTTGAGGAAGAAAATGACTGGTTTGCTGATACTCGTGGCCGGACGCCTACTTTCACGGATGAAGAAACGTGGCGTCTATTCTTCGGACCCATGGCGCCATGGGAAGTTGAAGAATTCAGCTGTTTCTGGCAGCATTGTTATCATCGATGGACAGACCCATACCGTGAAATAGCAAAAAGCCTTGCGGCTTATGCGGCTAATGGTGTTATCTGGTTCAGCGATCTTCCTCCCGAAGAGCGGCCTCCTCTGAATCGCTGTGGGTTGGATGTTGACCATCTGCCTGTCCATGAAAATGAACAGAGAAAAATTTTAGCCCACATGGTACCAACATTCCTTGTGAAGATGCTTCGTGAACCAGATTTTAGAACTCGCCGCGACTTGCTTCTCGCCAACACGGTTATTCTTAACCATTCGTTTGTTGATTATTGGCCTAAACCAAACTGGGAAGATCCCGGAGCGTTGCCTCTTCTGTACCCTGCTGATAGATTCAACTTCGACACAGATGTCAGTGGTCTCAAGACATACTTAGAGACGCTGCCTCCGCACGAGCGGCCTAACAACGCCTGGATGCAGCGCTGGCTTGATGCGGCGCTGGAGTATCCTCAAGTCTTTGAGGATATGTACTCGTATGCCCCGTACTGTCGGTGTTGGGAATGGGGATATGCTATTTGGGACGAGGAAAGGCTCATTGAATGGGGCGCCATGGATCATCTTGAACTCCCGTGACACGTGGCTTGACACCTCGATTATTATTGCATTGTTGATTCGGATATTGATACCACTCTATTAGCAATGCATTCGAGTGGAGTGGATAGAGAAAGCCCTCATTCACGCAGGGGCAACTCCCATTGAAGCCAGAGCAGCCGCTGTCATTTTCTGAAGTAGAATTGCTTACCGCAAGGTGATTCTCTTGGTGAGATGAACAGCTTGGTGCTGTCGTCCGGTCGGAAGAGGGAAATAACCTCTCACTGGCAAAGGACCGGGACGCCGTTGGAGTCTAGTATGTAGACATATGCATCTCCTTGAATGGATTTGTCCTTGGACTCTGGTCGATATTCGTGAATGTGAACGAGAGCTATTCGTGCCGCTGATGTCTTGTTCGGAATGCTGATGTGGCTCCCATGCCATTAACAATACAATGGAAGAGACTACATCTCATGTTAATGATTCAAGACCAATAAGCTCCAGTGCATGTCTCGCCAACTCTCTTACTCGCTCAATTCTCAAATGCAAGACGCCCAAATTATGTGCCGATATATCCTCGCCGACGGACCCCTTGGACAATGAATGACACAAACTGCGTCGGTCTCGGGCTTCAAACTTCTTGCAACTTGCTTCCCACCTTCCGCACAAACCTGCGCATCCATACAATAATTCTGTCCTGAATTATATGCGAGGGATGTGTTTGATGCGCACTCCCCTGAACCATGACAACTCTCACCCAGCTGGATTCCTACACAGGTTGCAAATCAGAAAAACAATCCTTACATACTCCACTGGTGGCATGTTATGCGCAGAACATGCTTTGTCGATCAACTAGTAAACCTAATATCTTTCAGGTCATGACCTAGCTCTGTTGGGTTCACACTGTAGCAACTGTCATCTACCGCAAGTTTACCAGCTTGCATCATTACAATTATCAACAGGACCTATTGCAAATCTACATAATGCGATGTTAATAGACCCAACCACTAGATACATCAGTCGAAAGATCACCCGTACAGGATGGGTGGCAAGAGATGTAGAATCCAGCCCCCTTAGCTCTTGGTTTGTTTCTTATAAGTAGCTGGTGCAGAGATTTGTGAGTCATCCAATGGAATGTGGTTAAATTTTCGCCTGGTAGTGTACGGGATATAGGCAGCTCCATCGTTTCCCAAGTGGGCACGGAAGGGACTTCTCTCCTTGTTGCTGAATACCCCGTGTTATCATGGCCTACGCGAGCAAGACACAAGACCCATATACGATTTGCTTCTGATAGACATATATATGAACAATATCAGGAACTCGGTGACATAAATTGTACCAAGCACAATGCATTAATCTATTTGCATTCACCTCAAGTTTGTCTCATGCTGTCGAGCGTCAATGTATTTTTCTCCTGTAATTCCGTTTAGCCGCCAGCATGCGAACGGCCAGATAGTCTATTATATGGAACAAACGTGGGTGCTCATGATGCCGCATGGAAGATATTATCCACGATGCAAGCTATAGTGATTCCCTGGATAGAATATCCTATATAGTCGACCTGCTTGACCGGGGTTCCCTCGGGGAAGCGCCGCATAGCGGTTGCTGCAAATGGATACGCTCATATTGCCCATTCTAATTTTACGCTCGATTTCCGATAGAATGCTCAATCAGACAATGACTCTCTATATTAGTCAGTATGGCAACCTGCCAGGAGTCGCTGGTATGGCATATTGTACTGGCGTACATCCTAGGCGCCTCGCCGCACGATTAATTGCGATCATGTGGGATGCAAGAAAGTCAGATCCACCAATATGATTGCACATGGAAGAGCTCCGGCGGCAAATCAGTGATGGCTAGTAGAGGCGCAGAAATTGAGTGGGTAAAGTAGGTTATCGTCTAAGCGCCGCTGTATTTCTGTTGCAGATCAGGAGAAGAAGGCTGAGATTGTCAGGTTGTCCAGGCGCCGTCGTCTCCATCTACTCTGTACGGAGTAGTCCCTTTCCATCCTTAGCATCCATGTTTCATTTCTGCATTTATCGACTGCTGCCATAAAAGCCTACGACTTGACGAATGATGATGATGACGATGGTAAGTACACCACGGGCGTTGCGAGAGAACGATATCTAACAATGGATTAGACCAGGCCATCACTTGAAGGCTTGCCGGTGGAATTACATATCTGCATCTTGTTTAAACTCCGGGACCTGGATTCTCTGCGATCCCTTGTCCTTGCATCGCCTGATTATTATCAAGCTTATCACCTGGTTAGAGATGAGCTTCTTCTGAGCATCCTGCAATCTTCACATGATGACCTTGTGGATGTTGCAGACGCAATAGCTGCCATCCGCTCCAAAGGACTGTACGCTTGCAAGCTATCAAACCGGGAAAAGATCATTGCCCTCTTGGATAGCCGACGACGAAGCGAAGAGATCCGCCGCCTAGGCTTATTATCTCCATTTCCTGACCAACCGGCCACTGTCGAAGAGACTGTTCAATTATTGCATCTCCATAGAATCGCCACTTTTCTCCTTGATGATTACTCGAGGACAGCGAGATTTCCGGAGTGGATGCCCACAGAGAAATGGAAAAACAAAAGTTTGATCCTATCCAGGACGGAGCAAAGGCGCTTTTTCCGAGCATTCTATCGGATGCAGATTTGGGGCAATATATTTGCTCACATTGAGCTTCCCCTAGGCGCAGACGAACCGGAAGAGGAGAACTACTGGTTTAGGGCCCCTGAGGGAGTCCCACCTGTGTTTAAAGAAGAAGAAGTATGGCGTCTTTTCTTCGGAACCATGGCGCCGTGGGAGGTGGAAGAAATTGCCAGTTTCTGGAGACATTGCTACCATCGATGGGCGGACCCATATTTCGAGGCTTCCGACAACCTTTTATCTTACAATGTTACCTTTATAAGTGATATTCCGCCCGACGAGCAACCTCCCTTGATGCGTTACTGGGACGACTGTCGCGATCTCAAAATTAGAGAAGGCGAGTGTAGAGAGAGTTTAGCCTGCATGGGACCGTCATTTCTCGTCAAGATGCTTCGCGAACGGAACTTCCGGGCTCGGCGAGACCTGGTGCTCGCAAACGCCATAAGTTGGCATCATTTCTTGGGCGAATATTGGCCGAGGCCGGATTTTGAAATGCCAGGAGCGTTGCCCCTTCTCTACCCTGCAGATAGATTCAACTTTGGCACGGACTTGGACGGACTCAAGGAGTTTTTGAACACCTTGCAACCGCATGAACGACCTAATGTCGCCTGGACGCAGCTGTGGCTGGGAGCAGGGCTGGACTACCCAGAGGTGTTTGTGGATATGTTCTGCTATGGCGAGCCTTCTTCATGTTGGGACTGGGGTTTTGCTTTATGGAGTGACGAAAGGCTGGTTGAATGGGGCGCACTGGATCAGCCCAGTCTCAGGAGAGACGTATACACATAGTAGATTTCCACAGGTCTCTGAAGTGTGATGGCTGTGTGCTATATGAACTTGAAACCGTCAATACCAAGATGGATGGACGCCAACGTCCCTATTCTTTGAAGATTGCTAGCCTCGCCAATTCTTACTCAATCGTTTGGACTGACGTATCTTTTATCTCCAGATTCTGTCTTCTAAACTGTAGTGCGTTCCATCACCTTCATTTTTCATCCGAATGCCCGATCATATAGAAGCATAAATCCAATCATAAGAGAGATGCAGTTTCACCCCCTTAAGGATTCAGCAACCACCTCCACCACCTCCTCCACAGCCGGCAGTGCTGCTTGCCGCCCCTGCTCCCACAGCGGCCACTAGTCCATGGTTACGGCGCCTTTTCCGCCCGTTTCGGGGCTTCGCGCTATCATAACAGTAATTGTAGTTGTAATTGTTTGAACCAGAGCAGGAGTGTCCGGGGTGGTAGGACCGTCGAGGAGGAGTATATCTTTCGTCGTCGTACTTGGATGAACCGAAGCACATTGTGAGCGTGTCGGTATGTGGCTAGGCTTGTTCGAGTGGATTTGATCACCTAGGACGTAGAATCTGGAGTTGAAACTGATTGGCTTCGGTTTCGGTATAGGTTGACTGATAGACGAGGTTCACTCTTCTGGTATGTCCGAATGCATCTCTGGGGAGATTCATTATGATTTATATATATTCATCGTCATGCAAGTATTTCGTTGACTAGGCAGAGGTTCTATTGTTCCTCTACAAGGCTGAATGATCTGCATTACGGTGTTTGAATACCCCATATATTATTACCTGCTGCTTCAATAGGTTGACAGTACATTATCGGGGTATCATTGATCGACACCTTGCCACCTGGGATGCTGCCCTGATTTTGTTACGAGGCAGTGCAGACGCCCGAGGCGCCCCATTCTGTATTGTGGCCTCATGTCGATCGCAAGGCTGAGGTGTGTTCTGCATGACTAATAATAAAACACTCTTGATTAGGCAAACAATTTATATCAACAAAACAAATGCTCGAAGTCTTAACAAACCACAGCCACGCAGGGATCAATCTCCGCTTGCTGAATACAAATATTCACACATCTAGGCTACTGCTATCCTCAGTCCCAACCCGACTATGAAACATTCCGCTGCTTCTAGTGTGACCACCACGTCAAGGAGAGCCTTGGGACCAGATGTCTGACGGAATTGGAGGTGGATTAGAGCAAATAGCATCATATACAGCCGGGTCTCGGAGACGGGCAGTCGGGGTGTTATTAGCGAAGAGTTCGACAAGAGTCGTGCCTATAGAGTGGTTTCAGCATACTGACAGTGGATTAGAGAGAGACAATAAAGCATAGGGACTATACCGTTCGGATTGTACATTGGCCAACCCATCTTCCTTGACAGTCCATCCCTCGGAGACTTGATGAATGCCGTCCACGCTTTCTGAAGGTAATCGCTGGCGGCCACTTCGTACCACTGCGGCTTCTTGTGAGGCTGGAGGTGCCTGTATGACCCTAAGGCAAGTGCAATATCCGCTGTGGCACATTTCTTGTGAGTGAGACGCATTTATGCTACAGGGATATATAACCGACCTTGATGGTATGGCCCCAGCCATGGGAAGAATGTCACAGTTGGGAAGACTCCCATGTAGCGATACCGCCACACTGGAACATGATGCTTCGCCCGGAATCTGGGTCTTCGTTAGCAGCCTATACCTGCGGCACAGACGCCAGGTCTATCTTACAAGGCTTCTTGGGACATGGGGCAATTGAAATATGTGGTTGTGAGGATATCCGAAAGGGTCTTGTTGACGCCCTTTTCAGAAAAGTTCAGAACCCCATCACCTTCATTGTTGGTGATGCCCATCAGGACAGGCTGTCACAAACCAAGTTAAAAATTGACATGTACGAGGACCGATAAGACACTCACCACATTGGCAAAAGAGCCAGCTGAGCCTAGACGGCTATACTCCTCTGCAGAATAAAGCGTGATATTATCGATCATCGGCGCCCCTCCAGTCGTACCGAACGGGTTGACTGTAAGGTTGGAAAGCGCTTTGTGCAGAATCGGCGCAGGGACTGATTTCATGCACCTTAGCTCATTCGTTCTGTTTGCAGCATTTCTGCATCCAAGTCTCTCTGCTGCCTGAATGAACACAAAATCATCCTGGGGCCCGACATATTCTGGAATCCCGCTCTGCAGGATCAGACCTTGCACGATCGGGTCATCTTTGAATGCATAGGTCAGCAATGCAGCAGAGTCTGCACCTGCAGATTGGCCACCAAGTGTGATTCTGGCTGGATCGCCACCAAACGCAGCGAGGTTCGCGCGCAGCCATTCCAATGCAGCTCGCTGGTCCCGAATACCAAGATTCTGCTGGTCAATTGGAATCGCGGGAGAGTTGGGAAATCCGAACACGTTGAGACGGTAACTAATGGATTGTGAGCCCTCTAACATATTGAATGGAAAAGCAGCACGATGGGTTGGACAGAAGGTGTACGAACTTCAGAGTGACAACGATGATATCGGGCTGGTTCGCGACGAGGCCGGTAGGGTTAAATACTAAGGCTGGTAAGCATGAGTGATATGCAAGCGTGCAAAGGACCTACATGGAACACTGGCGCCTCCCTCATTGAATGCACCTCCATACAACCAGACCAAAACTGGCAGCAATTTGGATTTTGGGCGTGCTCGTGGTGCGAAGATGTTCAGGGACAAGCAGTCCTCCGACTCCGGGGTAGTCGGGGCTAGATTGTCCCCTAACACAGTCTTATACCGAAACTGATAACAGACAGGGCCGAATTGCGTTGCATTGACGATTGTATGTTCGTCACCGGTGTCAAGAGGCTGTGGAGGGCGGAATCGAAGATCGCCTATGGGAGGTTTGGCGTATGGGATCCCAAGATAGGCATCTACTTTGTCGTGCACTTGGACACCGTGGAATAATCCTTGCCGGGTCCGGGCTGCAATATCTGGCAGAGCCTCGAGAGTAACAGCCAGCAAGCTGAGAGCTGTTAAACAATGGATTGTCTTCATATTGCAACTGATTCCTCAACCTGGATATTGTCACAGAAGATACTTCGACGACAGAACAGGCTCAATTTATATTCAGTAAACCCAACTGTTTCTGCCATTTTTGGACTACGAGTAGTACGTAGACCCTTTGATGCTTCTACAAGATGCGAACTAAACTAAATGCGAGTGCGAACCGTGAGAGTGCGAATACGAACAAAGCCCACTCGAGACCGTCGACAACCAATCAAAGGGTGCTCCACCTCTCTTTGACCGTGTGTTCCCGATCGGTTTCCTGTTAGTCATCTCCAGGCAGCCACATGCAGATTGTAGCGTCCATATGTTGCAACTTGCCGACTGTGAGCTCTGAAGGAAGCTATACATGCAAGGAACTCTACAAGCTTCTGCCATCGTGGCTAACGCAGAGGTTAACCCCCACAATGGACCCAAATTACCTGGTATCTGCCCTGAACAATCCGAATCCTGTGACAGGATGGTGGCTTGGACGGGAGGATGAAAATTCCACCACGGCATCGACGCAGCATTCAAGGACAGACATGTCAAGACCAAAGAGACGAATTCGTCCCCACAATAAATCCCGACGAGGGTGTTTGAACTGCAAAATCCGGCGAGTGAAAGTAAGACTGGTCGCCGAAGTTGCTCCTCATTTCGTACAACAGACTAACCCAACAGTAGTGTCCGGAGAATCATCCTGCTTGCGAGAATTGCCGGGGAAAGGGCTTGGTCTGTGTATACCCGCCTGGGCTACAGAACAAGAACGACGTCCAGTACCTTGGAGATCCAGCGCGGGATGTCTCAAGCCAACTTGCATATCTGCAGCCCCGAAGACAAGCTGCAGAGTTTACCATTGCTGATATGTCTCTCCTCCAACACTTCATTACCGACGCTCATCCACACCTGCCGATAGGTAATGATGATGTCTATAGGCGAGCGCTTCCGGCGCTTACATATAAAGTAAGGCCCGTGTGGAAAATGACGAACCTAGAATCTGCTTGCTGATACTTGGACCAGCATGAATATGTGATGCATGCCATTCTTGCCCTTTCTTCCTCGCATTTAGCACTTCTAACCGGATCCGCCCTCCCTGTTGAGGCCTTGGGACATCGCCAACGGGCGCTCCGAGGACTAAATCAAGCAATGTCCCAAGCGCCAGCCGAGGCCAGCGACGCTGACGCAATGTTGGCAGCTTGCTATATATTGACCTTTCAGTCCTCGTACATGCTCGATGGCCTTACTGATTATATCATGATGCTCCGGGGTTGCGGCTTAGTGACCGGATTGATGCGACAACGGAACCTGCACGGATCTTTCTCGATCGATGCAAATTCGCATATAAAACACATGGAAGCACAATTTGGCCAATTCCCTACAATCGATATTCGGATTGCCTCGGACGGTATTCGCTCACTGAGTCTTGTGAAACCTCTGTTACAGCATCCAGTCGAAGAAATCTTCTACCGGCTTTTGTTTGACGTCCTCGTTTCTCTCGAACAGTCGGCCTCCTGCGCGGCTTATCTCCGTTTCACCAACATCGTGAACGAGTTTATCACTTTACCCCAATCCGAGGTCCACCATGTCCTCGCCCCGGAGAATCAGATTTCGCAGGTGTTAATGGCTCATTTCCTCGTCATACTGGCCATCCTTTCCCCGATAACGTCGCTGGAAGCAAGCAGTCGACTTTGCAATGTTCCAATGGCGGCAATGTTGTCCTGGGTTGAAAATATTTGTATGCAGATGTCCGGAAAAAAGGCCGAACGATACCTTATATGGCCCAAAAGTGTGGTGGAAACTATCCGTGCTAGCACCAGCCGAACGGGTGTGCTGGTTGATGACGTTCTGGCCTTGATTTTGAACTCCCCAGATAGACTCCTCCTATCATAACATGAGATAATGGCCCGATAGAGCATGGTGATATTTTTCTCGGTCTAGACATTTTCCGCTTACTCAGCACCCTCGGGCTTAGGCGTCGCAGACTCGGAGACTCGGGTGTTGTTCCCAAATTCAACTTGGAATTATGCCATGAATAGCATCTTCAGCGCCCCTTTCGGCATAGCTGCTCGCTTAAATTAGATCTTACTGCCGACACACCTACCATTCGGGTCAGCTAGATGGACACCACCGCCCCTGCGCCTTATGGAGGCCGACTGCGAAGTGCCTGTGATCGATGCCGACACCGGAAGGTTCGTAGAGGACACGTGACAGTTTGGGAATAGAGAGAATGCTTCGAACTAATCACCATCACTCAATTTCCAATCCTCACAGATCCGTTGCGATAGAGCCAAACCGGCCTGCGAGGCTTGTCATTTCGCCTCTACTCCCTGTATATTTACTCCGCTGCCGATCCAGCCGCGCAAATCAGTCCGCGAGTAAGGTTGACCCCCTTCCACATGCATGTGATCTCAATCCTGATTGAGACTCCATGATCAGACAGTTGCAAGACACCAGAGCTGAAGTTCGCCGACTGGAAGAGGCCTTGAGAGCGGAGAGAGAGCGCCATCAGAGTTCCAGTCCCAGTCTCCATCAACCCTCCGGGCTCGTCAATGATCTTTTTGATTCTCGTGGCTTCGACGTGACTTTGAAAGCTTTTCGGTGGCACCTTGCATATTGCACTCCTGCTTTTGCTGCCTCCATACAATCAGATCCCGCTTTTGACCTGGAGGAGCTGCTCGACCGGGTGGCGGATTCATTCGACCTGCAGTTCCGGACAAAACCCGCCCGAGTAGTCTTGCCAAAATGGCCCCCGCGCCGCCTGGTCGAGGCGTCGTTGGAATACTTTTCGAGCAATGGATTGTACTCAATTCATCCCGTTGTCGACATTGATGCACTTACCTGTCTACTTGACGCTTCTGACTTCGATGATTCCGCGATTGGAACAAATATTGCCGACCGGGCCTGTTTAGCGGCATTGACAGCAATGATTACCAGGATTCGTCGACAAGAGCCTGCATTTGCTGATGCAGACCCTGATGCTTACGTCCAAGCAGTACTTTCTGTGCTACCCCAGTTAATGATGGAACATACTAACATCCGAGCTTTGGAGGCGTTGATTATCCTCGTAAGTCATGTTTCTGGCAAGGTGCTCCATCCCCGCGTCTAATTGTCAAAGGCACTTTATATCGCCCCTTTGGGTCAACCGCAGACAGCGGAAATACTACTCGCTATGGCCGTCCGGATCCTCTTCAATTTGGGGGCGCACCAAGCTAGAGCCACTTATGAAACTACCGCCCAGAAGCATCAGCATCAGCACTTGCGGGCTCTGTTCTGGACCTTTTACGCCGTAGACAAAGAAATGTCGCTTCGAAAATGTCAACCGCCGATGATCAATGACGCTGACTGCGACTTGACTTTACCTGATAAGTATGTTGCACAATCGTCTGAGCACCAGTTCTTCACGTCCGAATTGTCACCCAGAGAGCTTCTTTATCCCTCAGATCTTCGTCTGGCTATGCTCAAATCAAAGGTCTATCATTTGCTCTATTCCGAACAAAGTTTGAGCCATTCAAGAGCGAGACGACTTCAGCTCATCCGCGAACTAGACCAACAACTGAATGACCTGAAATCCCATTTCCCCAACGCTTGTAAACCTGACGCCGTTGTGAGCGGAAATGTGCCTGATTACCTTATCCATGATCTCAGTTTACGGGGCGTGAATGTGCATCTCGAGTACTACCACTGTCTTTCTAAGATCCACGGTGCGAGCGCCATCGGCACCCCGGTTCTGCAGAGTCTGTCTCCTCCATCTACAAGTATGGAGTTATGCTATCAGGCAGCTCGATCTACTTTGATATATCTGCGTCGAATTCGTCATCTGATCTTTCCTGAGACATTCTGGTAAGCAGTGACATTGACCGACGGTGTGAGTAGTTCTGACGTATACTTACAGGATATATGCGCAAATCCTTCTGACGTCGAGTATTTCGCTCTACATGCGCATACTCTCAGCACCCAAACAGTGCGAAGTCCAGGATGATGTGTATCTCCTGGAGAGCACAATCGATGTGTTTCACCAGCTAAATTGTGTCGAACCCAGCAAGCGTTTTCCGCCCTTCGTTATCATTGAAGCTTTCATCCGAAGATTGACATTTCTGGCCGAGCAGTCTTTGTCGAAGGTCGCGGACTAATACCACGCCATACTTGTTACGGAAGCATTGTGCGATGGGCGTCTGACTGTCGTCAACCTCCAACTGCCTGAATAACAGGGGGAATGTAGCATGCGTCTTGCAACCCATCCGTACAGGATACTTGGGCTAATGAAACATATTTTTACTCCCCGGTCTACCGCGCTTTGAGTCATGAACACTGTGATCAACAATATATGCAAGGCGATCACATGATATGTGAAGCATCATGTCCAGCAATCATGTGATTATGTCAACAACCGACTTCAGAAGAGGAGCACTTTTCATACCGAGTCCTTTTTCCTTTCAGGTATCTCAATTGATAAGGATTACCCTGAAGCCATATTTCTTTTGAAGGCATGGATTTTGACGACATCCAACTTCGGCAGTTCGACGTTCTCAAACAAGACTGGATCAGGCTGTGTTCCACCTCATCCAAAGGAATTTGTGACCTAGCAAATCGTTACCGAAAACGCGATGACTGCTTGCTCCGCTCAATGCACTCTGGCTCATTCAATTTCAGTCTAAGATTGCATTGGGAAGATGGCGGCGAGGACTGGCTGATACGATTTCCGCTCCCAGAAAAATCGATGTTTCTAGACGAGAAAGTCCACAGAGAGGCCGTACTCATGGAATTCATTGGTAGCAGGACCCAGATTCCTGTCCCTCGTGTCATCGCGTATGGAGCCATGAGAACCCTACTGGTCTTGGACCCTTCGTTATCATGACCTGGATTGAAGGGAGGAAAATGTCTGAGATCGTTCTGAAAGACACGCCAGGGAAGGACGATATTTTAGACCCTGATATTGACTCCCGAACGTTGGGGCTTCTTTATGGCCAGATGGCGGAGATACTTCTGCAGCTTTGGAAGCTTGACTTCAATTACATTGGTTGCCTAGGTCAAGACAAACAAAGTAGGCAGCATATGGTTGACGGCCCGCCTTTGACATTGGAAGTCAACGAGCTCATGCGGACTTACGGGCTGGGAGATCGCACTCCGTCAGGCGTATATCGCAGCTCTACCGATTATATTGCATCATTGTTGCAACTGCAGTCAACTCACCTGAGGGAACAACGGAATAGCGTGTATGATTCCGAAGATTGCCGGGAGAAGTATGCCTGTCGCCATCTGATGAAAGCTATAGCCTTGGATTTCATTTCCCAGGAAGATAATCACGGCTCTTTTAAGTTGTTCTGCGACGACTTCGGACCCGGCAATGTCCTCGTGGATGACTCTCTCCGCGTCACGGGAGTGATTGACTGGGAGTTTTGCTATACAGCTCCCATTCAGTTCGCTGGAGTATTCCTTTGTGGCTCCTTTTTCAACGGCCTTATTGAATTATTAATGAAACTGGTGCTGCCGGCTTTCTCGATATGTTTCTTCCCAAAGCCGAGTTTTTTTTGGACTGTTTGCAACAGAAGGAGGGGACAACTGGGGCCAACCCTGAGGACCGACTTTCGACACGTATGCGGAGATCGGTCGAGGACAAGAGCGCCTAGTTTATTCTTGCGGCGCGGATGGTATCGTCCGTTGACATGATCTACTGGGAATTACTCGATGAATTCTGCTGGGGAACGCGATTGTCTATTGAAGAGAGGATCCACAACGTCACTACGATCCCTGAAAAGCATAAAGAGCGCGAGAGGTTCGTGCGTCTCAAGACGCCAGCTTTAGGAATACTATGCTGAGCTGGGCGAGGAAACAACAATCGAATACGAGGAGGAGCGTTTATAAAACAAGAGGAAGCTTTCGACGATGGGACAAGATGTGCTAAATCTTCTTCTTCACGCCCTGTTGAAGCCCGGAGTGCAGGAAACCATATCTCTTCACCGCTTTGCATTGGTTTCTTTTCACTGGGCTGCGTGGTTCGCCTTTTAGCAAAGAGATTTATCGTCAGGTGACAGTCTAATTCTATTAACATTCTTTGCATGCATGCTAGCATTGAGATTATATCTTTAGCAAATAATCACTGGTTTATACAGAAGGCTTAGAGTCCCTTTTTCGTGCCATCAATCCCTAATCCATTGACCCTCACTTCTCCGGCTGCACTACGTAGAAATGGCTTAAAATGTCATTGAAGGAAGCATCCTCTGGGATGCATATTTAGTAGTAAACCATATTGCCTTTGGCCGAAGTACCTCATGCAACACAGGGGCGACTTGGGTTCTTCAAATAATTAAATGATTTAACCCATTGATCTAGCGAGAGAGGTTACGGATACAGCCCATGAACTGACATGGGTTTGGCGCCAATTGGATGAAGCGCTCTCGATTGTTAAAGAAGTGTCCTTGTAATAGCTGCTAGATTGAGTGATTTTATGCCGACTATCCTGTCTGAAATTCCGCACCATAGCAGTAAGAAACCTATTCAACTATCCTGGAGAGGGCATTACAGATGGATTAAATTAAAGGGAAAATAATAACATCTGTGTCAGGAGCACTAGCAGATAGCAAATACACCAGCATTTCACATAACCCTTCCCGCGCAGCATCAGGCTTGCAACATTCCATCAGACGCAAGCGATTTCACAGCCTCGCTGCTAACAAAATCAACAGTGACTCTAGATCGCCTATTGTTCAGGAAGGATTTATAAACTTGCCAGCTTCAATAGCTGCTACCACATCACTCCGGGGGTGGATGTAAGATGCAATCTGAGAGCTGTCAGCTATAGACGTCCGCAAGAGCAAACCCATCATATTCCCAAAGACGATCATTCCGGCTTTGTCCAGGTGTGTATAATCCTTGGGTGTAAGATTATACTTTGCTGCATTTGTTGCGCCGATGCTGTTGAGATACTTGGTGGACGCTTCGTTCAGATCCACATGTTCGCAGTTTGTAGCCTTTGCGGCAGCCTTGGTGGCAGCAACGACGTTCGCCAGCGAGAGAACAACATGGCCGGAATTGTCGAAGCTTCGACGGCTCAGAGAAGTCACCAGAATCTTGGGTTTCATGTTAGTGAAATTTCTTATATTCAAGCGCGGACTCGTGACTTACTGGGGTTCCCCCTGCCGACCGGACATCGGCTACCATCTTCTCCAGATTTGCCGTAAATTGGGAGATGGAGACTCCAGACGTTGACTTCTGGTCATTGTGCCCGAACTAGGTATTATAATCATGTTAGTATAAGTCCCTGGAGGCATGGCCACGGAATCTGGTCATTTACTTGGATTGTCACGTAGGGATGGTAGTTCGACTTATTCTTCTTGACAGCGTCGAGAACCTTGGCCCAGTACCCACCGGCCACGAAGGAGGCCGTTGTAGCACCGCTATGGGCGAAATTGGTGCCAATTGACCCATCGGCCAACGTGGCTAGGAAGCCATCTCCCCAGCCTGAGAATTATATCGCCGCCGTCAGCCACCATCGACCTCCGGGAAGATTGAGGTCACTTGCCTCCATTTATTGCTGTAGTTGAGTCTCCAGCCAGAAAGAATGCAGGTTTAGATGCCGCGGATCGCTCTAATGGAGTAGCAAGAGTAGAGCATGGGAGCAGACACAGCACTGACTGTAGTGCCCCACAGATGGTCAAGAATTTCATGATTATGGTTATATCACGAATACGATGTTGCAATGGGCAAAGAGTTCGTTCTCTGGCACGATGATAGTCCTTATATAGTTTTCCAGACTCATCAAACTGAAACTATAATTGTGGCATAACACTCGACTTTCATTCAGCCATTGGTACCGCCATTTATTCCGAATAAATGGGAATACAACAGTATGCTTCTGCAGGGTCCAAGCCGATGTGATGTATGGCTATATCTTGCCCTCTAACGCTACCGAGTCCACTTGATGGCCCCTCGTGCAATAGTGTCTGGTAATGTTCTGAGACATTAGAACTTCGTCAGTATTAGGCAGACCTATTGTGTCAGTGGTGGAAATTTCTGCTTTATGCCGGCGAGACTTATGATCAGGTGTTTTGCTATAGCCTCTCGCTCCACATTACCCCGTTCTCCAGCCGATCCCCCGTTCCTCCGTACCAATGGAGTTGCATTGGGTAGTATCTAGACTATCCCTAAGCGGTAACCTGAGACAGCCAAATGTTGCAAAAGGCAAGATCTGCATCGATAGCCCCAACTCTATTGTACCCTTGCGCTAAGTCAAAGCCTCTCTAGTGGATGGAAAGCTTGAAACCCTAGCTTGAGCTAATTGTCTGATGTACACTCTGTAGAGACTAGCTACTGGGACATGAGCAGTTTCTGCTGCTGTACGAATACGAAACTTTCTTTTTACCCAATCCCCTGATAATCTGCTGGATTGAGTACCCAACGAACACTCTATTATAGTTACTTTGCAACACAGTTTGTGGAGTTCAGACCCGCCCATCACGCAGCTGATACGATCAGTGGTCCATCCTGTTGAGTTCAGTTCGACTGCAACGCCGGCCCGAAACTCCGTATAACCTTGATCAGACGGAATAAAACGAACCGGCCAATTGAGGAAAGGACTGGAATGAAACAGATGAGGGGAAAGGAGCGCTGTCTCGGGGTAGTGTATTTACCGAATTCACCAGCAGAGTTGCGCATAGATGAAACATCTTGATGGGGGTTGCTAGAATAGATGCTGCTCACTTGTTCATATAAACGATGATAAAACCCTTTGCGCCTTTGCTGCCCCTCTCATAGAGCACAGGTTTACGATCATTTTGGGTCCGTCTTCTCTTCTTGATATACTTTTGGCTATTCAGCAGGTGCTTCTAGCGCATTTAAGTTCACAATGTTGTTCAGCAAACTGATTTTAGTACTTAACACTTCGTCCCTTGTCGCAGCAGCAACGTCATGGATTGTTCCAGGTGCTGTATGGAAGGACACCAACGGCCAGAAGATTGATGCCCACGGCGGCGGCATTTTCCAACAGGGAAATACATTCTACTGGGTCGGCCAAAGTGCTAGCACGGGTAGTCACTCCAAGAATGATCATTTCTCTAGCAGCAGCTGGACACCTAGCTGATATGTACCACTCACAGGTGAAACACCCTACATGTACTCATCCACCGACCTCCTCAACTGGGTTCCGCACGGTGCGCAGGCTCGAATCCAAGGCATGTGGCGTCCAAAGATTGCCAGGCCTAATGGGAAATACTGGGTACACATTTCCTTCTAGTTGCATTCCTGGCCCGTCTCTTCGGTAATAACTAATGACCTTTCCCAGATATACGGACAGGTGAACCGGCTTGTTCAACCTCTGGAGTCGTCAACATTGGTTGGCGGTTATCAGGCCCACGGCTCTGGACAACATCTCCCACCCAGTGGGTACACCTACTCGGACACTGGCATGTTCCAGGATCCCAATGATGGTACGCGATAATCCCAGAGCTTAAGCTATGAATATTCTTAACCCAGACTAGGGACTTGGTACCTCTTAACCAGTGCAGACCATAACAACCTCCAGATTAACCGAATCAACTCGGATGGTTCGGTTGGCAATCGGGTGAACGTGCTAGGTTCGTACCATCGTTCTATCTTTCAATATTATGCCATTTTATTGACCAACCTTTGTGGCACTCAGCGGCCGGAGCCTATGAGGCTCCAGGCATGTTCTATGCCGGCGGCACCTATTTTCTGATTGTTTCTGGCAAAACCGGTTGGAGAGGCAATCCGAATCAGATGTTCTACAGTGACAGTATTTCCGGGTCCTGGCACGGGCCCCATCCCATCGCTCCTGGCTCCAGCAATACATACGGCGCGCAGAACACATTTGAGCTTGTCATCAAAGGAACGAAGGAGACGACTTATATCTACATGGGTGACCTCTGGGACTCCAAGGGGGGACCTAGCTCCAATTACCTCTGGCTCCCGATGTCGGTTGACACACGGTTAGTGCTCTATGTTCAAAGCTACTGAGGTCTTGCATGCTAAACAAACCTGCATATCAGTGCTAAGACTGTGACTTTGAATTATCACTCCATGTGGGTTGTGGACGTGAACACTGGGGTTGTCTCCTTTCCCAAGTCTAAAAAGCGATATGAAGCAGAGGATGCTATCCTGTCTGGCCGTGCCGGTGAGTTGTTTCTGCATTGAGAACATCTATTGCCCGTCTGTCTAACTTGTATGGAAGTCGTTACTGAGTGTGATCATTGCCTGACCAAACGGTCCGTCCATAGAAGTATGTATAGAACCCTCCCTGCAGCAACAGACAGGAACAGTTAACCAAAGCTCCTCTTCAGTTGATCATGAGAGCGAAGTCGTGTTTGAGAATGTTACAGGCACCGGGCAGCCTGAATGGGTATCCTTCCACTACACCGTGAATAACCCTACTAGTACGTCTTCCTGCTCAATCCGCCTAATACATCTACATACTGACATGCAGTGTGTTCTCTGTTAGTGGGTGATGCACATATCTATGTGAATGACGAACCAGTTCCGTTGAACATATCAGAGCTGAACTCTCGGGCCGGGTATCATGAAACTGTCCCTGTCCAACTTACCCTCAAGCCTGGTGACACCAATACCATCAGGTTTGCCGCTATGGGCACTTCTGGTAGGGCAATGCATTTAAAGACTTAGTCCAATTGGTAAAGCTAACCTCGACTACAGATTTTGAAGTCTTCTTGGACGGAATAGAGCTTCATGAGTAGCCCTTCGGACGAGGGTGACGACGCTGGGCTTGATCTCGGGCCCAAGTTGCTTCTTGGTTAGGTGGAGTGAAATATATCGTTCCAGAGCCGGACATCAGCTGCCAGGAATGCCTCGTACAGAATAATTACAATTCAGCCTGCAGGATGCGCTTGTGCAATTGTAGAAGGCCTTGCTTGAACAAGAGGTACTGAAGTCATTGGAAGGTCGGTGCAGGTTGAAAAGGAGCATCCGGAGCACCTTGAAGTGGATATCGGCGCCCAGGTTGAATTGCCAAAGGTACAAGTCTTTTAGCCTTGTTGACCAGACCCAAGATATAGTCCTACGCTTGTAAATTCTTAATGCTACTAATACTCTCACATCTTTTCCAAGTCGTCAGGAGGCGACACTCTAATCCAACTCCATGTAGGGTCCTGAGCGCCAGCAGGCCTTCAACATCAAGATGAAACTCCCTCGGTCTGTCCCTCTATTGCTTGAATTCTCTGCAGCAATTGCACATATGAGCTGCTGATACTCCAACAGCTGAGCGAACTCATCACCGCAATTGACTCATCCAACAATCTACGCGCCCCCCGGCGACACAGCAGATTTCCAATTCCTGGAAGCTTGACGCAGCCTGATCCATTCGCAATCCACCTTTGAGTACCCGTCGTTTCCAAACCTCCTAGGTCGAGCGTGGCAGAGGGTTCCAGGTCTCGGTCAGGACCAGGACAACCTCTCTCTAGCAACCCGTGCCGCCGGCAGAGCGTGGAATATACCCACAGAACCAGTACGGCTCTGAGTAAGGAGGCCGGCATTAAGAAATGCCCGCAGTGATTTGAGCGGATTGTTTCAAAGACCTGAGCACCATACAGCACCGCCAGACGCCCTTGAAATGGTGATTGGGCCCATTGACTCGATAGAATATCCCACGACGTATCGTCCATTCTCCGGTATATGACGCTTAAGCAAACAGATTTTATTCGCGGCGTTGGGCTGTAATAGATCATCAGGCCCGAGCAAATCAGCATGCGGTGGAGTACAGCTGCTTTTGTATGGGCCTCGCCACGTTCTGCTCCAAGGAGACTCTTGAGTGTTTCCGCCGCTGCGAGTCTGTGTTCAGACCAACAACCCTGAGAGGAGCTATCCGCGTCGTCGTTCATGACAATGCTTGTCAGATAGTGCAGGATAGTCTGCTTTCCAAGCGTTCCAGTCTGCGACCATGCCCACATCCAGTTTTGGTTCGCAATGGTTACAGGTAGGGACGGTATCGTGGAAAAGTTCCTGACTTCCATGATTTGAGCCCATTGCTGAGCACCGGGTGCATCCCAGCAATCGTCCGACTGCGGCAAGCAATTCTGCAGCTCGTCCGCCCTCATAACGTGGTTGAGCCCAAAGCTATAATTCCACCCGAAATCAATCAGCTGCGAGGGAGTCAGAAGTTACAAACTGCCATCCTTCAAGCCCGAGTCTGAGACATGGACGAAAAGCTTACCCAAATGGCGAACCCTACCCGTCGACGTTCCTCGTCATATATTGAGAGCTGCCATTCTTGACCAAGCGGGAGCTGTAACGCGGAAATCCGTACACGAGGGAGGATATTTGAAAGAAGCCTCTTTCGTCGTGCAAGAGTAACCGGGACAGCCTGGACCAATTCTGCTAGTTCAAGGGCCCTTCGATTGCCTGAGTACATCAGGCCGAGTTGGTTGAGAAGAATGGTTTGCGTGATCCAAAGCTCACGACTGGTGCGATTGCATTGTTCACACTGTACTCAAATTTGGCTAGTTAACTGGGCTGTATTCAAACTGCCAGAGGTGGCCTTGGGGTATAGTCTCACTGTGTACGATGTATATCGTCGGACCAGCTCATGCATAGCCCTCTGACAGGCTTGCGAGCCCTCCAAATCTGAGAAATGCGCGCCGATGGCCGCAACGGTAAGGACCAGGAATGGATTCATCGTCGCAGGGGAAAAGGTTGGCTTATGCAAGATCGGAAAAACAGGGTGGAAATGCTCAAAGTAGAGCTGGACCCAGGCATTGAGAACGAGAGCAGGCGGAATGCGCAACTCGATAAACTTGGGATAGTTGGATTTGGTTTGCAATACGGTAGCCATCTCGAACACCTTCTGTGGGACACCGTCCGGAACCTGCTCAACAAGGGCCAGATTTTCCTTTTCGATATCCTCGCTGGGGATAGTAGTCATGTCCGGAAACACTAACTGAGCGTCCAGTTCAATAGAAGCTGGAAAGTACTGCCTCGGGTCGATGGCATCTTTATCCATATCTGGTTCCTGAATGTTACCATAGAGCCCGGCGATGGTGGCTGAAGCGGATGCTACAGCATCGCTGGTGGATTTCGCAGATAGCCCCATGTAGTCATCGTCGAAACCAAAGTTGAGCCACTCGCCAAAGTCATTCCAGTCCAACGAGAAGAAGGGAGGAACCGTGATCATATCGATGGCTCCATAGGTCGCTTCGGCCTGGGCGGGCGAATGTACCAGTGCCTGTTCATACAGCCTCTGATTCTGGGGGCGAGCTGGCGACACTATGTCTATACTATGTGAGGCATTCGTGGCCTCACTACCTGCTTGAACCTGTGTAGAGGGAAGATTCAGACAATGTCCCCTAGGCAGTTGGCCAGTGCGTGTGGCAGATTGTCTGGTGCGCCTGGAGACCGGATAGGAGCATTCTCGATCCTGGTCGCAGCAACGCTGACATGGCTCCTTCCCATCACATCTGACTTTAGATAGCCGGCACGATTCGCAGGCTTTTATTGCTCTGCGTCTCTCAGCCAGGGGCTCCCCCGAGTCCGTCTGATGGACAGACGTATAGTGGCGAGCAAGTGAGTCTCTGCGCGTCCGGTCAGTGATTGCCGCCATATATGTACCAGTTGGTAATGAAGAGGAAAGGAAAGGAATCATGTTACCCGCGGCTGAAGGTCTGCCGACAATAGGAACAGGAGAAAGGCTTTTCCTCTGTATGTGACCGCAGATGGCGCTGGTAGTGTTCTCGTCGGTTGAAGCTTGTCTGACAGGTGGTGCAGCGCATGTCCAGCAACTTCCTGGGACGAGGCATCGTGGCTTTGAGTGGGGATTCATGGAGTGATTGAGCAACTACTGAAGATACAAGACTCAAGCATCTCTGAATGCATACAGAACACACTTTCCTTGTAGCGCCATGTTTGTGTAGACTTGGAGCTTAAAGGGATTTCGGGAGGAGAAGGTGGGCCTTCACGGATATGCCCGGAGTCCCGGGACGGTCTATTAGGGAAAGGGTATGTAGATCTCCTTGGCATTAGGGCAACCTGCAGTAGGCCAGTACTATGCCTTACCTATATAGAAAGATGATGAAGAAGACTATCCTAATACTGCAACAGAGCTGTATAAGAAGAGCACGGGCACCTGCCCATAGTTTAGGCTACCTTTTGGGGGCCTAGTAATATCTATGTAATCTCAAAGTCACTCTAGCCCATTCTAGAGGCAAGGTGCTGATATGGAAAGTGGTATGCTCATTTCATCCTTTCCTGACTGTCCAGGTTTTATATACCGAGTACTCTATATTCAATCTACTGTTATCGTCCAAGTCTGCCTGTCGCTAAGTGGGTTGGCTATCCGGTAGCACTATATGCCTAGGTCACCTAAACGTGTTCGGCCAAAAACTCGTAGCCTGGAAGGACACTCTCCTTAAACTGGGCCTCATCCCTTCCTAGCCCAAAATCAAACCCGTGTTGCCCTCCTTCCGCCAAAATCAGCTTCGTCTCCACCCCCAGTCCCGTCAGATGCTCATGCGCGCGCCGCGAGAACCGAGGGTCAATAAACGTATCCTTCGTCCCAGTCAGGAGGATCGTCGGAGGGAATGCAGACGAGAAGAAGGTCGCTGGGTCCACACGCGCAAGGTCGCCGTCGTGAACACAGCGCTCCAGATGCTTCCCTTCCTTGAAAGCTAGAGCCATCCAGGCGTCTCGAGGCCTGGAAAGATCGGGCATAGGCATGGTGCCCGGTACGATAAACTGCTCCGGTGAGATAACGGTCATGGAACGGGGTGGCTCGCTGAAAACACGCTGTGCCAAAGACTGATCAATTGGAGGCATCATTTCCGAGCCGGGGGTCGGCTGGCTCCAGGTGTCGTCGGAGAAGTAGGCGGCTGCGTAGAATGCTGCAATCGCTTTCGGGGGGTCAGTTAGGCTTCCCTGTGAGAACGAGGCAAGAACGTGAGCTTTTTTCTTTCCTCATGCCCGTGGTGGCTTGAAGAGGAGAGATTGGGACAATGTGGTTAAACCCACCAGGTGTAAAGCCAAAGTCCCACCGGAAGATTGACCAAAAGCGACAACACGACTTGGATCCAGTGTGATTCCTACTTCATTGCGAATTAGATCGGGAAGCGTTGTCTTCGTCCAACGAAATGCATCCCTCGCATCCTGGATAGGACCGTCATAGAGGGTGACATGTGGACAGAGACGGTAATCCGCCAACACAACAACGAACCCGAGGTCGAGGAGAAGCTTTACCTCTTCGGGATTGAAGAGAAACCTGGATCCGATAGTGAAGCCGCCCGCATGAAATCCAATTGCTGTTTTGATATACAGTTAGTACAACTTGGTTCTTCCAATTCAAGCATGGGTGGACTATCTTACCTATCGGTAGTTTCGTGTTTCTGTTGTCCAATCCAGTCTGAGGCCAGTACACAGTCGCTGCGACGTCAAGGCCCTCGACGGTCTTGTATACAAAATCTTTTGTGGTCATGACGATCGGTACGTCCATGATAGTGTTAGCAGCGGATTGGGCCACTGTGAAGGCTGGGAACACTATGATCAGTGAATTAAAGTAAATACCTGGTGAAAAAGGACCCCCTGAGCTATTTCGCCTTTCTATATGGTCTCGTGAATGATCTGGTTTGGCTCTCGGCTAATGTGGTACGGATCCCCGATTGTCTCGGATATTGTGGGGTAATAACGATATCTCGGAGCTGCAATGTCGCATTCAACCAGCAATCCAGTGCATAATCTCGGGCCGAACACCTGGATAAGAATTGAATATTGCCGGGTAGGAAGGGATCAACTGCAGATCTCGTTAGAATGGGAAATTGTTCAAGTCAACCTAGTCAACCTAGGCAAACCAGTCGATACGTTGTTCCGGTGGGTTGCGCTTTTTGTCACCATTCCGGGCAGAGGCCGACGGAAGTGTATGAGTCTCGCGCTTGTTTGCTTTTGTTTTGGCATAAATATTAGTCAACTAACTACAGGGAAGTTATCAAGCCCGGCTGAGCAATTCTTTAAATAGCAGGTTGTCTGTCCAATGTACTCCAGTATTCCCTTGTTCGCATCTCTATACCGATTTAGCTTGGTTTTATACCCCCTTCTTGGTCGTCCATTGACAATACGACTTACAACAATGCTCTCGGTCACTGAGAATGAAGGAAACTCTCATTCTTCCACGGTTGTCATCATCGGAGCAGGGCCCGTCGGGCTCCTGACAGCATTGAGACTGGCCCAGAGTGGTATCAAAGTCGACATCGTTGAAAAGGAGGAAGGTCTCGGCGATGCCCCTCGGGCGTGTTCCTATTATGCGGCAGCTCTGCACGCGCTCCAAAAAGCCAATGTTCTGGACGATATCAAATCTACCGGCTTTACAACCAGCGGTCTCTGCTGGAGGGGCCCACTGGCTGACGACGGCAACGGAGGGAAAAGACTAGGCGAGATGCTTGCTTGTCTACCAATAGTGGGCACAAATGACTGGGACCATGGAGTGGTGAACCTCCAACAGTCAAAACTGGCCGGTCTTTTCTACAAAAAAGCGGTCGAGACTGGATTGGTCAAAGTTCATTTTGGCCTGCAGCTCAAAGGCATTCAGCAAGATGCGGACTCGGTGACTGCTACGGTCATTCGGGCAGATGGGAGTCACGAAACCACCTTCCATGCTTCATTCCTCGTGGGTGCGGACGGAGGGAGGTCGACGACCCGGAAGCTACTTGGCATTCATTACAAGGGCCATAGCTGGCCGGAGCGTCTGGTGGCCATCGATATCTTGATAAAAGATGCCGAGTTTGATGATAATTACCCGAGTTCGCTTTTTGTTGATCCCGTCAATTGGGGGCTTGTTACGCCGCTAGAGAAACCCCAGCGCGAGAAAGAAACCCTGTGGAGATGCACGGTGGCGCTCGATCCTAGCGATCAGCGAGGAGACGACCAGGTGGTTGCGGAGAAATCCATCAGGAGCCTTCTGTCCAACGTTGTCCCGGGCCACCAACTCGATACAGCAACGGTGGTGAGAGCATCTCCGTATCGGGTGCACCAACTTTGCGCTACTACGTTGAACAGTGGACGCTGTGTTTTAGTTGGGGATGCCGCCCATCTCAACAATGTATGATCAGCTTCCCATAAAAAACGAGCCATTTCCCAGACCTAGGCTAACACCACACTTCCTCTAGCCTATGGGGGCCATGGGCCTCACCACGGGTATTCTCGATGCCGATGCTCTAGCGGACGCTTTGGAGCTCATTATCCACGAAGGGAAGCCCATCGGCGTCCTCGACACGTACACCGATGAACGACGCCGCGCATTCCAGATGTTCGTCGATCCTTCCTCGTCGCAGAACAAGCTGCGCATCGCCAGCGACGTCAGCACTGCAAAGCAGGACTGGCTCATAAGATTCATGGCTCGCGCATCCGGTGACGGTGACATGGTGAAGCAGGCAACAGAGGCTTTCTTCAGTGTCTGGCGGACTGACATGAGAAAGATTCTGTACACTCAGAAAGCTTGATTAGGTATATCTAAACACACAGACGTTCGGGTCATCAACTTCCCAGCAGTACTATTCTGCGAATGACATCAGTGCTTGTAGTTGAAGGGCACTACTCCATATTCTATGATATATCAATGACACAGACTCTTGGGCGCAGAATTGACACTGCGTATGTAGATTTGTAACGCGATAACCCTCCCATCACAAGCTGCTGATGCCATTTTTACCTGGCACCCAACTAGCGCCCCAATGCTAGTTGTCTTTTGCAATGGCCACTACATGTTGCGCTTGCAGAAAGAGTGATAACAGTGAAGGGCCTTTATTTGGCTTTATTATTAATAAAAAGGCTTTTGAATGATGACAATTTACTAGGCTTTTTCCGCTGACTTGAATACCGCTATAGCAGGATCACCAGTTATGAGGGTCGACCCATTTAACTAGATTGCATTTCCTCAAGCCTTGGCACTGTATATTTGCTAATCATGATTTCTCTGCAGGAAGACAACTACGAACACGAATAGTCGTAAAGGTATCCCTACTGATGTACCGCTCTGTCACCAACCGAATACAATGGCGATATCTGGATTTACTCTAGGACATGAGAGATCAACTCATCAGTATGAGGCCACAGAGCCATGCAAGTAACCTGTACTTTCTGGCTACTTGCGGGCTTTAATCATTAGCTACATTTGTGCTGTCCGCCAGCCTAGAGGACCTAATCCTAGCTTTGTACCTAAGCTTCCTTCTCGCGGCACTTGCAAGCCTGAATTGCTTGTTGGGTGAATGAATCAGTTGTGGCCCCATGGTGTTGCATGCGCTATATCCTAACTACCACCATCACAACTCCTGCTGTAGGTGCTTACCAGGAGATGTGTTGGCCCAGACATGCGCAGAACAAACAGGAAAACATGGATTTGGAATTTCATCTGCCCTTCCACTCCCAGGATTTCTGTGCGATTTATGATAGAGGATATAGGCAGTTGCTGATTTGTCTTCATGTGAATCCCTTTGCAAAGTCTTGCGCGAACAAGAGAAAACCCCATAACCTCTACACCGCAGCCGTCTTGCGGTTGACGTAGAAAATTGTCTAACCTGATCCTGGCATGACCTTTAAAGTCTTTAGTGATTATGAAGCCTTTGAAATGACTAATGGGCGTAATCTGAGGGGAGAGCTTACTTTTACACGTTGCTTATGGTTTGCAGAGGGCTTATAAATCATAAATCAGAGTGTTGTAACAGTTTCAGAGAAGAAACCAAATTTGTGTCTTTATCCAGTATGCTAGCCCTAAGTGGAGAAGAAAAATGCCTATCTTCTCAATAACCGGGGGCAGCGGTCATTAGGTTGTTGGCAACTAACACGATCGAACCGATCCAATCGTTCAGACTGAATATTTTCATATTTCATGTATCAAAGAGACTGGTACCCTGATTGACGTCCGGGTCCTTCAGTCGCTCCTACTGATGCGTTGTATGATGGCAATGCCGAAGCATCCCGTTCAGCTGAGATTTGTATCGGAGTTCTCAAAGAAAATGGTTTTGCCTTGTGAACAGCAAACCAGAAACTCAGCTTATAGATCCGCGACATGAGACAGGAATGAAAGGTGGGAATAAAGTTCTCTCGCGAGAGTACAACTGGTACCAGCAGGATAGCACTATAGATTCCTGTTTCGTCCTGCTTCCACTCCAATTGGGGGATGGTGTACTCAAAAGGCGGGAATTTCGTCTCGCAGAAGTTTAGAGGACGGCCGAAGAAGTCTCTTTTCTTTGTCGGGAAGTCATTATTAAAGGTAGCGCTGTAGAAGGTGGTGCTCGTTAATTTCCCTCGTACGAATTTGAGCTGTGGAACGGCGGTATTGGGATCTATTGGTGTATAGCAGAGCATGAATCGGACAGCCTGGCTAACCAGACTATGTGGGTCCCGAAGTGGAAGTCGAAAGCTTTTTGGCTGCTCCAATGTCACGGCCAGCTCACCAAGGCTTTCTTTGGACCGAGGATCACGAATGATCTCCCGATGATGCAAAGAGTACTCTTGATGGAAGGTACTCATATTTACTAGAGGCGGTGCCTCATCCACTGCTGGCTTTATTCGCACTTTCCTTTCCTTTGATAAGATGGTTTCTTGCTTTCCAGAGACAATAGCAAGGCGATTTAGCTTGACTCGAATAGCATACGTGATTCGGCATGTTGAAGGGGCAAAATCATCCCGCAGTTTACCTCCGAATCCAGAGACAGTGGCGTCTCCAAAAGTCGGGGGAGGTTGTAAGTGAGCGGTTCTCACGACAGAATTGACGGTGGGGTGATGGCAGGAAGAGGCAGGCAGATAATCAACGACTGTAAAGGCAAAAGGAAATTGATATTTTTGATTTTTTCTCAAGATGCGCGGGTCTGGAAGAGCAGACTCGTCGAGTTGTTGCTCGAAATTTTGGAATTGAAGGTATCCCTTGCTAGGGTTGCTGCTGCGTAGATTTGTTGTCTCTTGTCCTGTCGATCCACCTGTCAGGAGTGACTGTCTTCGCTACGTGGATACTGTGCGCACGAGAGCATCTGCTAACCTATGAAAGATATCTCAATGTTATCAAAACGTACGTCTTTGCCTGCCAAGAGGGAAACGGTCCCTTCGATGGTATCTCCGGTTGTGAACGATGACATAAAGGTGCCGTTGGTGTCATGGTCATTTCGAAGGGCGATGTCGACGCTTATAAGTTGATGGGAATCCAGTTCCATGAGAGCAGGGTACAGAGTGACTAAAAGTTTAATTATAAATGAGGCTATTTCGCATGGGACAAGCGGTAGGGAAGAGTAAATGAACGGAGATTTGTCTTGTAAGGAAATCAATCACATTTGAGGCCACTACAGAATACCATGTTGCATGTATGACTCTTTCTCTTTGCTTAGTTTGGTCTAGTCTCATCGCACAAACGCTAGTCCCTCGGCAGTTGTTCTCTCGGCAGTTGTTCTCTCGGCAGTTGCCTCCTCGGGATTAGCGCTCTACAAAAATACACGGACGAATACGACGAATACGCCGAATCCCCACTCAATCCTTCCGTTTTGAGTATAGTCTACTTTCCCGCTGAAAATCTCCTTCAGCCTTGCGTGTGCCAATATCTTGCGATCCTTGCATACTCCGTAGTTGACTCTATCATGGCGCAACAAGAAAGACGAACGGTCATCTGCGTTTTGTAGGTTAACTTGAGCGAAATACGCACGATCCCCTTGAGCTTTGTCCCGCCGTAGCTAATACTCATACTCAGCTGCGGTTCATTGGCCGATAAATCTGGCCACCACTTGGAAGCGGCTCGCCTTCTCGCGCATGAATTCCATAAGAACAATGTTCAGCTGGTTTATGGCGGTGGCACCGTGGGTATCATGGGTGAGCTGGCCAGAACCCTAGTATCATTATCTGGCCCACAGGCTGTCCATGGCATTATTCCTAAGGCACTTGTCGAGGTTGAGGAGGGCTATAAAGATATCGACCGTCAAAGAGGTACGACAAAGGACTCCAGTCCAAACAGGCAAGGCAAGGCCGCGGAGCGCGTTGTGTCGCACTCGATCGAAGCGTCGGACTATGGCCTGGTGACCATTGTTCCGGACATGCACACCCGCAAGCGATTAATGGCTCAGAAGGTCCTCGAGGGAGGTCCCGGCTCAGGCTTTGTCGCGCTAGCGGGGGGCTTTGGTACCATGGAGGAGCTTATGGAAATGACCACCTGGAACCAGCTGGGGATTCACAAGGCCGGTGTGGTCTTGCTGAACATCAATGGTTACTGGGACGGAATCCTGCAGTGGGTGCGGGCCTCTGTGGAGGAAGGTTTAGTGAGTCAGGAAAACGCGGGAATTCTCACCCAGGCGACTAGGGTAGAAGACGTTCTGAAGATGCTGAGGGAGTACCGAATTAGCAATGACCGATTGAAACTGGACTGGGGTCAGGAGTGAATCATTGATTGAGCACGACGAATCCCAAGTGTCAAGGAAGGAACTGTAAAGGCGAGTTGCTCGCGGTATATCTTCCATCTTCCGAAATGTGGTCGTCCTAGGAAGGCAATCAGAGACTTCATACCCATTCTACCCATACTATCTAGTCAGGTGACGTCTAGTATTCAGATTACTACCTATTTTTCTAGTATTCTAGCCACACCACTAAAATATCTATATATTTTATTTAATACTATGATGATTTATTATATAAATATTATATATTACCTATTATATAAGGTAAAATAGCTTATATAGGGGAGTAGTGGCACTCCCTAAGATTAATATGAAGAGTGGTGCAGAGATATATATATCTTACCACCACTATCCTAACCATCATCAAAAATCTAAAATCCACTATAACTCTAGTTTCTCTCAGCAAACCTAATATTTTATGTACTATATAAATAGATATAGTCATTCTTTATCTATAGATATAAAAATATATCCGTCTCTAGGCCTAGATTTGCGGATTGGGCCAGCCAGTCTAATTAACCATGGTTTACTGTACCTACTGTTAGTGCGGGCAGCGTACCTCCGAGGCTATTAAGATACTTATAATCCAGACTTAGAGATTCAGTTTACTGAGCTCTCTTTAGCCGGGCAAGCTTACATGATGTACCTATCTTCGGAGTCTGAGCATCATAGAGATGATGATGGTATGCCTATACATTTCATCGGTGCGTGTAAGGACTGTTAAAGGTTTCAGGAGAAAATAATGGCAATAATGATGATGATCTACTTACGGTTCGTCGAGGGAGTCCGCCGAATAGTGTCTCGTGACCCGAACGAGGCTTGGGTGTTCGATTTTTAGACTGGGTTTCAGATTTCATTTTGAATACATATCTGAGTCAAAGACGGCAACTGTACTAAGAACGAGATCTACAATAAACAGTGACACGAAGCAATGCAACTAAAACTTTCCCCGTAAACCACCACGCTCAACGCCGCCCCAAAGAACAAACTTCGGCTCCAGTCCCTTCCCAGCTTTCTCCGCCTGCGCTAAGCCTTCCGACTCCGGCAGAAGGACCACGTTCTCCGGGTAGATCTTCCCCAGAAGCGCCAGAGCAACGACCGGGTCTTGCACGGGAATCACATGGAGACCGCCATTTTGAGCTGTAACGAGGCCGTCTTCGTGCCCCGTCTCCAGGAGGACGGATGCGGCGTCGTGGACCACGGTGGATGTCGCGCCGTGCATACCGTTGGATGATGTCGCGGATTCACTGGCACTCGATGCCCGGTAGGCGTAGCGATGGCCACGCGCAACCTGTCCCAGGTCAACGGAGACGCACTTGCCGTTGTCGAGCTGGAGCTGCAATTCGAGCTGCCGGACCGCTTGGGATGACGAGGTCGAGTCGGGTGTCGGTGGGACGACTCCGATGCTGGTGCTTTGTACGCTGAGTGCTGGTGTGCCCCAGCCATTGGCCTCAGGGTATCTCTGGGACTGAAGCACTGAAGGCTTCTCGGTGCCGGCGGGGATCTCGACGCGAGGCGCCAGATAGTAGTCCTGGATTCGGTAGTCGAAGATGACACCTTTGGATGCGTCGTCGACCAGCTTGGCAGGGATATACTGGAGAAGATGGAACGGAGTTGGCCCACCGGCCAGGAAAGCGGGCAGGACCAGGCCATGGGCATATTGGAAGCCGTAGCCGGGGCTGGCCTTGGGCGAAGTCAGGCCGGAACGAGACAGAAGGCCCGGAGCAAGGAGAGCCTGGGCATGTTTGACGATTGCCGATTGGGTGACCTCCTTGGTCAGAAGGTGGGTGAGAAACTCCGACCGGGATGGCTCAAGATGCCGGATGCCTCTAGCGGCTCGACCATCAACAGGGATGATCACATCCTCGTAGTTCTTGAACGGCAGCAGGGCGTCACGCAGGAGGACCATCTGGTGCATGTACTCGTTGAATAGCTGCATCAGATGCGACTGACTGCGACGGCCAAACATTAGGTCGACATTGGGCGGGATGAGCAGATGGCCCTCACAGGGGCTGCGAAGGTAGAGGTCGGGATTGAATGGGCCGCCTGTGTGGTTGCGCGCGTACTGGACGAGCGTCTTTCCAATACGTCTGGCCTGCTCAGCGATTTCTCGGCGGGAGTCATCAAGATCAGTGTCGGGGAAGCGCAGAGTGGCTTCTCGGGTGTTGATGTCAAGATTAGCGGCTAGGTTGTCAAGCAGTTGCGCCCGCGCTGGTCTGGCGTTTGGTGGATCTGGGCCTAGCCGGAATACAACCGTGTCCAGAAGTGGCGCAAAGCCTTCGACTAGTTGACGGGGCGTGTAGAGACCGGACTTGAGGCCCCAGGCCTCGCGAGGGGTGCCCTTGTCGTGCGCGCCGGCGTCAGGCCGGACGGGGATACTCTGGCCGACCAGGATAGGGCCTGCGCCTCCGGCACCGAGACCGGATAGGCGAAATACGGTGTCTGCAGTAGCTTTCATGGCGGCAGCTCTGATCATGTTGTTGTCAAAGACCAGCTGGAGGAGGAGGATTCGAAGGACACCGAGGCTCGGACGCATCGTGCCCTGCCCTGCGTAGTTATACCAACGACTGGAGGAACGGACAAAGGCAAAACTAGGTAAAACGTCGCCGCCATGTTGCGGAAGCTGACAAATTGCGTATCCAATTGCTCCTTATTGTGTTGTGTGCCTCCGTCGCCTTTGCTCGCAGAGTCCGGAGAAGACTGGATGTGGTCCTCGCGCCGCCGGAGTTCGTGGTCGTTTGACGACCACGAACTCCGGCGGCCGCAACACATGTCTAGAGAAACAGATTCCGCTGTCCAAGATACTGTTTCGAGTCATACAATGCAATGCACGTTTTGAGCGCATGATGGATGGACCGGACTGAAGGACGCGGGTTTGAGGGCTCTCTGACGTGGTGGAGTGAACCTCCTGGGGTCTGTGATGGAAGCTATATCTGGCCTCGATTCGTCATGAACTCGGTCGAAATCATCAGAGTTCACTGTGAAGAAACGAAGAAACCGGCCTAAGTCGCTCTACTGTACAGCATCAAATCTCCCACCATGGTTAACCACGATACCGTTGACCTGCCCGTCATCGACTTTACAGCCCTCAGCGAAAAGGATGCAGCGGGCCACCGCACTCCCGTCTCCATCGATGAGCGCCGTCGACTCTTCACGGCCCTTCGCGACACCGGGTTCGCATACCTGAAGCACCCTGGGGTGAACCAGGCCACCGTGGACGAACTCTTCGCGCATTCCCGGCGCTTCTTCGCCAAGCCGCTGGAGGAGAAGATGCAGATTCTCGGCAAGCTCGACAAGGGCCGTGGCCCAAGCCAGGGGTACTCCAACCCGCAGAAGCTGGCCCACAATCCCCAGACCTCGGACCTGAAGGAGTTCTTCGGCATGTATCGTGATGACGACACTGAGAAGCCCAATCAGTGGCTGTCCGACGCCGACTCGAAGGCCATGCGGACGGATCTGGTCCGGTTCTTCGACTCGTGCCACGGGGTCATCCTCGAGCTTCTGAGCGCTCTCGCGGAGGAAGTCGGTCTGGCCGCCGAGACGCTGCATCCGTTCATCAACGAGAAGAATCATTTCATTGCCTGTTTGCATTATCCGGCCACCGAGCCGGAGTCGTTCCGGACGAGGGTCCGCGCGGCGGCCCACACGGACTATGGATGTATGACGCTGTTGTTTAATGACTCAGGCGAGGGTCTACAGGTGCTGCGCAACAATGGCCAGTACGAGTATGTTCCTCGTAAGGACGATTGTGCGGTGCTGAACGGTGAGCTGTCCATTTCCCCATTGCAAATTGCAAGGAGAGGAAACATGAGATACTGATTGATTCCCGGCCTATAGTCGGCGATCTTCTCTCCCGATTCTTCAACGGTGTTCTACCATCCACCATGCACCGGGTCGTGGAGCCACCGGCCACGAGGAGCGGCTCGTCCGCGGACCAGGTCCCGGATCGCTACTCGATTGCCTTCTTCGGGCACTTCAACCTGGATCTGCTGGTGAAGCCACTGGATGCGCTGGTGTCGGCGACGAACCCAGCCCGCTTCGAACCCGTGGTGGCGGGCGAGCATGTCAAGGCGCGCGTGAAGCAGTTGCATGTCGCCGGCCATAGCCTGACGGACAACGTGAAGAACGCCGAGAGCCGAGCTACTGTGACGCAGCCGGCTGTTGCGAGTGCGTCGGCTTGAGCCCTGTTTGCAGCCGGGTCGAGCTATACTACGTATTTGCAAGAGATGAGAGACGTGTCGGGATTCGCTATTGGATCAGTTGATGAAATGTATGATACAAATTGCAAAATCGCATTTCAATCTTATTGCTGAATTGTCCATGGGTAACTGAGCAGGAACTAAACTATATCCACAAGTACACTCATGAGCATTCATACAAGCAACTGCGTAAATCGTCATAAATCGTCAGCGTTACATTACAAACCCAGTACATCTCAAAATGTGACCCCGTCTGTATGCCCACCATGACCAAAGACGCAGGTTCTGTCGGCCAATCCAACATATTCACGAAAATTGCTCCAGCGCACAGAGAATGATAAACGACCGAAGCTCATTGGAGTCACCAAACCCCGCATTCGTGGTGAAATTAGCCCGCAGATAGTCCTTGGCGAACTTGGAGAAAAGCGATTTGAGCGAGGGTTGGTGATGGTGATTTGGGAGCTGCTCGCCAACGGCGATGTGCGGACCCGCGGCGGGACCAGCAGCACTAGCGGCAGCAGCGCCAAAGGTAGAAAAAGCGTCGGAGGTGCCTGGGGAGCCCGTGGGGGATGGCTGCTTAGCCATTTGCGTGGCCTTGCGCCACTCGTCTTCGGTGCGGGCGCTCCACAGCGCTTGATTGCAGGGCAGGGGCATATTCATGATGAGCTCGTCGTTGAGGGGCTCATAGTAGGGCAATTGGCGCCCGGACTCCAGATCGCGGTTACTGAAGAAGTTGACAATGTTAGCAAGGAACATGGTGCGGCGGGCAGTTTCAGTGACAGCCCATTTGACCCAGGAGCTATTGGTGTCGGCGTCAGGCAGGAGTGCCGCGTCATGACACTCGAGGTAGGACCGCGAGAAACACTGGGTCATTTTGGAGAGGAAGGGCGACTTCAGCCCTCTTGTGCGCCGCTTTCGCTTCCAGCTCTCAGATTCGTTGATGGGCGCCATGCCCATCTCAAGGATCTCATAGAGGAGCATTGCATGCAGAGCGTCCCACTGCTCCAGACAGTGGTAGGTAGGCTGGACAGTCTCTTTGTCAGTCCACTGGAGGTAGTCTCTCAACCACGGCCAAGGTGCTTACATATGACTCAATCAGGCTTTGCCGTTGCGCATCCATGGCGCGCTTGATATAACCCACACCATCTCTGTTGCCCAAAGCACTTCCGCAGCATATGGCCATGGATGTGTGCGGAAGAATCGTCATATCTGGCATATCCTCATTGAACAGGGTGCGGTGCAGAAATGGACAGTAGAAATCATCCTGAAGCAGGAGTTTCGGGTACTGTAGAAGCAGACGCGCATAGTTGGCTGGGCGCACTCCCAGTGCGTCTGGACTGGACAACGGTGCCTGAGGCGAGTCGTTGGCATCCTGTGAGCCGAGCCCGGTCAGCGTGGACAGATCGGGAATCCCTGAACCCGGCGGCGCAAGGGTCTCCTCGACCAGCGGATTAAACGACTGTTGTGATGAAGGCGAGGTCAGCGGAAAGGTGAAGCTCGGATGTCTGGTCGGGATCGCCGGTGTTGGGCCCAGAGTAACTTCGTTGACCATGCTGGTCGATGAGGAGGGCAGTGACGGGAGATTGATTGTATCCAGGGCCCAGAGGAAGTTCTGGGAGCTCCATGAGTCTAAGCTATCCGCGCCGGGATCGCCCAGCGGGCTCCGACGGCTCCACAGCAACGGGAGGTCGGTCGTGCTCATGCTGGTCTCATCGGGCTGGGAAGGGTCTTTGGCCGAGAGAGAAGAGGAAGAGGCAGAGGCAGAAGAGGCGGCATAGGCGGAGGCAATGGTGGCTGCTGTCTTGGCCATGGACATGTATTCGCAGACGATGCCCCGTTTGGCACAGCGCGAGCAGGTCGGTTGTGTGTAGCAGCATTTGGTCTTGGCCTGCACGCATGCATTACACGCCTTGCGGCGCATTGTGGGCTTGTCCGATCGCAGACACCGTCGTCGATGGCGCAAGAGGAGGTCACCTGGAATCCATCGGCCTAGATATCAGCACCAGATGCATGCTAGGAGATGGGGACAAGACAAACGGCGGAGACAAACGTCGTTGGTAGCTCTTGAAACAGGAGTCGCACACGTGAGCCTCGTTGGGCGGCTCGGATCCTGGCATGGTCGGAGTGCCGCATCGAAGGGGATACCAGATAGGAAATGACAAGCAAGCGTGGGAGTGCCAGGTTTAAGTGCAAAGTGGCATCCATTCACAGACTCGTGACAGGGAGCGAGCCATAGGGATCGACATAATTGTCTTCTCGATCCTTCTATGTCTGTAGCCTACGCTGTAAGACAGGGAAGGAGGAAGGCATGGCCAGAAGGACTGGATGAAACCAGGATTCGGAAGAAACCAGGATTAGGATGAAGGCATGAGGTTTGAGGCGCGCATGACCAGCGCCATCCCATGTGTGGTAAGGCGCAGGGGCTAGTCTCCTTGTATGGCGTGCTCGTCCTGTTGGCGTCTTATTATTAATGACAGACGACCAATGTAACCTCGCCTCCTTGTCTATCTATCATGACTGATCTTCGTCGGAGCAGATATCAGTCCCCGTCGCAACCAATCACGCCCGATTACGGCCAGCCCGAAAATGATTACGTGCGAGGCGAGATTATCTCCCAATTAAAAGCCCTGTCTGCATTCTTCACCCGACCTTAGTGCTGACGACGCGGTGCGCAATCTATTTTATCACACAAGGGGCCTTTATCGACCTTGATGGAAATGACTAGAATAATTGATTGTGGTGATGACAACAAGAACAAAAAACAACTTGGATTCACCTAATCAAACGCGCATCGGAATTCACTGGGCTAAAAGAGGCGTCTATCTAACGTTGCCTCAGGATTTTAACGCTCCACTTGCAACGGTTCGGTCCGGTTAAGTAACCTTAACCTTAGATCTTGCGTGCCGTAAGCCACCGGACTTTGGGCGTATAGCCGATCTGTTTCATCTCCGCAACCAGCTCGTCCAGCCATGCGAGATACTCGTCGGGGGTGCGGGCCACGCCGGGAATGCCCTCGGCTAGAGTTGTGACGTCTCAGTCAGTAGGATGGCTATGGATGGAATGGGACCGCCCTCGCGCATGGTACATACCAGGGATCTTACGAGCCAGATGGCGGAAGGACTGGGGGAGGAGCTCGGCGGTCCACGTGCGGTCCTCGGGTCTCTTCGACGTTGCACCGTAGCCCAGATCAAACGTTTCCACCTTCATGTCCACAAAGCCGAGGGGAAGCAGGAGATCAGGAAACTTTTTCCAGATGTGCACGTCCATACCGGACGAACTGGTCGACCACTCCTGCACCTTGGCAAGCTTCTTCTGCTGCACCTGCTCGTCAGAATACGAGCTTAGGACCCATTCCGCCTCCACTAGCTGCAGGACCCCACCAGGCCGGACGACCTCGGCCAGATTAGCGAGGACCCGCGCCCACTCGTCCTCTCGAATCCCCCAGACCAACAGCCGCTGGTGTACCAGGTCGAAACTGTTTTTCCAGCCCCAGGATTCGGGGAAGGGCTGGCGCACATCATGCTCGCGCAGTTTCAGTCGAGGGTCCGACCGGAACAGCGCCTTGCCCAAGTCCACTCCGTAGAGATCCAGGTCGGGCCTGTCAGTGCCAGCCAAATCCGCTAGCCATGTGCCTGTCGATGCTACCTTTAGTTTCTTGCGCGGGCGGGCACCAATGATGGTCGTTTTGTTTTACAAAATGCAAGGGTTGTGTGTTACACTCACCGTCCGCGCAGCCAGAGTCGAGCACTCTGGCTCCTTTAGGCAGCTCGACAGAGGTCAGCTTGTCGTCAGTGGCAGCTTTGATGAAGAAGTGTTGGCGCTGCAGCCGCTTGATCTCCTCCTGGTGATGAGGGAGAAGGTAGACTCCTTCGGTCCCACTGAATTCGTCTTTGATCTGGGTTTCAGGGGCCGGACGGTGCGCCGCGGTCGGTCTAATAGGAGCCTCCATTTTTTCTCAATGCGGTACAGCGATACTGTTGAGTTTGTTGATATTCTCTGGTCGAACCTGTCTGTCTGTCTGTCTCTCTGTCTGTCTGTCTGTGTGTGCTGGCATGGTGCCTAAATCTGGGATATATATGTTGCTCGCTGCTTCTTTTCGTGACCTTGTAGGACCTGGAATCATGATGACCGGTCCATCTTGCTCCGCAACAGATACGGAATCTGTGAAGCCTCTGCCTGCCGAGGTCAACTCCGACCTGCGGTCTTTCTCTGTCCTTTCTTTTCTTCGGGGAGGGAGGGGGGGAGGATATGGTGGATCCGTTGAGCGGGACATGAACAGGGCTACGGGGAGACAGAAAGCAACAGGATGGTTGATCGGCATGATCTGCAATACGCCATGCATTTCCACCATCAGGGGGATTGCCGGGTGACGATGTCGTTATCTGAAGCGCCTCCAAAAATCCAAACAACTCCGGACGTAACTGTCCTCGCTTCGGAGAATGAGGTCGTGAAACGCTACACCCGATAACGTAAATGGTGATCAACGCAGCTAGCACCAATTCTCCGATGTCAGCACTAGCGAACATCTAGTCAATTCTCCGTAAACCAAATGAGACGGTCTTCCGATGGCGTCGAAGCGAAGAACATGCATCCGGATCCTTCGTATGCAGCTAGTGGTTTTGGCGCGCCCCATGGCGGTCGTGGCACCCTGGTGGGGTGTGGTAAACTATGGCGTTTAACACCGGCGCTGGATCATTGATAGACTAACAGGCCTATCAATAGAATCTTCATGTTTACACGTCATTTTGGGGTCCATTGGCGTTATGTCGACGCGGCGCACGGTCCTGTAATTGATCGCAGCATAGGAGGCGCCCTCCAGTGGTAGATCGATCGTAAGCGAAGAACCCTCATTCCGACGTTAGGTAATGGTGGACTATGTAATCCTACATGCCATAGTACGCGATGTTTTTTTTTATTTTTATTTTGATTTTAATTAATGCAATCCAAGTAACGCAGTTATGCCCCCCTCTAGGGTCTAGACGTCCCGTCATTCTCCATTGCGTCCACATGGTGAAGTTACTACGCAGAACTGTATACATCAGAACCAGGGCGATGGGTGACTATGTGCATTTTGAGTCAGTTACTACTATTCTATCTATCAGAATCGGTCCCTGGGTAACCTGTAAGCAACGCAGGAGAGGAATAATGATGACAGAGATATATCAGAGAATGTGATTGATATTCCTATACAATGTATACATTTATTGTTCATCCATTGCTTTCAACCAAAAGGGAGTAGAAAAGAGTGATGATCATGCAGAACAGAACAAGGGGGTCGCTGGTACATTGTCCATGAGTCGTATCCCATAATTCCCGTAGTATCAAACCGATTGCACATAATTTGGCACAGAGGAAGGAAACAGGCCATTGGCCACATCCTGCCCTGCCGCATGGCCCATCTGCTTGAGTTGCCTCCGATTGATCTTGAATCCTGTCGTGGGAAAGTGAGAGAGGCACCGGACACCACCCGTCAGCTTCCGAAGCCCGGTGAGCTTTTGGTTGGCGAAGTGTAGAATGTCCCGCTCCAACTGGTGGGTGAGCTGGGGATTCTGATGATACTCGGGCTTGAGGATCACGAACGCGGTAGGCTCATCCAGCTGGGTGAAGTCATTGCGAATGCCCACGACCACCACACTCGCCACAGCGGGATGCTCAAACACCACGGCCTCCAGCTCCGCAGCGGAGATGTGCGTTCCGTAGCCGCCTCCGACCTTGAGGAGCTCCTTGATCCGATCCATGATGAAGACGTTGCAATTCTCGTCGAGGTGCCCATAGTCCCCCGTGTGGAACCAGCCTTCGGAGTCGAAGTCGCGATTGGCAACCTCGTTGTCCTTGTAGCCCTTGAATCGACACAGCTGATTGCGCACCAGAATCTCGCCGGGCTCGCCCACCCCCAGTTCCTGGCCGGTGACCGTGCTAACGACTTTGGCTTGCATTCCGTTCACTAGTGTGCCACTGTAGCCACTGCGGCGGGAGTCATCGTCGCGCTGGATTGCAATGAGCATGGTCTCGGAGGTGCCCCATTCGAGGTCCAAGTGAACGCCCCCGAATTGGTTGGAAACCGTCTGCCGCAGGTTTTCGTGCATGGGGGCGCCAGCCGTGAGGAGCCACTTGACACTACTGACGTCGACGCCGGACGCTTTGAAGTCAGTCCGCGCCAGGCGGGCGGCAATGGGGGGTGTGATGAAGAGAAAGCTGATCTTGTGCCGGCCGATCACGTCGACGGTCGTCTCATCGAGGGGACCGTTCATGAGTACCACGGGGATCCCCAGCAGGATGTTGAGACCCATGTTGAGCTTGGCGTTGATGAAAAATCCCAGCGACAGGGGCGAGAGCCAGACATCATGTTCTGGGTCAGTATTGTCCGGTATCGTGCCGATGGTACCTTCCATCGTGGCAATGAAATGGGCATGGCTGGTTAGTACGGACTTGACGTTCCCCGTGGATCCGCTCGTGCGGTTCAGAAAAGCATCATACTCCTCTGCGCTGGCCTCCGATTCTAGCCGGAAGAGGTCAGCGTCAGGGCGGCCGCGTGCAAGAAGACGCTCCAGAGATGCCCACAGCTGGTTAGGGCTGTCGTCGAGCGTGATTAGGCGAACAGCGCCTGCCAAGTTCGTAGACACCTCGGCGAGGAGCAATAGGTCACTGTCGGTGATAAGCAGCTTCACCTGCGATTGCACTAGTCGAGTCGCAATGTCCGTTTCGGACATCTCTTGCTGCACAGGGATGAGGGCCACCGTAGCTCCGGCGGCCAAAGCGCCAAAATAGGCGATTGGGTATTGGATCTGCTCCCAAGCGGATTAGCCGCAAGCGCGGCACTAAGCAGAGATTAACCAACATACCCTGTCTTTTGCGAAAATGCCGACGACATCCTTCGGCATGATATCATACTCCGAGCGAAGAGCATCAGCGAAGCGTCGGCTTTTCTCCTCGAGCTCTGCCAGCGTCAGGGTTTCACCGGTCTGGTCGACGCGGTAGAGCACTCGACTCCATGGATATGGTCGTCTGCCCTGGTGGAAGATGTAGTTGAATACATCGGTCTTGGGCACGGAGGGTAGAGGAAGTTTGGATTCAAAGATCATGGTTAATGCCGCGAAGCCAGTAGAATGAATTCGCAGGTGGGATACCTGGACAACAGTGAGATTCGTAACAGCTGTTGAAGTCTGTTGGTATCGTAGATGTGGACTCCGTATCCTCGGTGTGACTCCTGTTCTTCTAGTGTTGACTCTGAGTAACAAGGTGATGAACGGGAAGCGATTAAATACGGGTTGAGTGGTCGTTGAGGCCGGTCCTCGACATCAATCGGACCAGCAGAGTCTATCTCCACCCTGGATATCCTTGGATATCCGCAATGTGATAGGGAAAGGAAACGGAATGGAGTCTTCCACTAGAGCCCACAATGCCTATCATCGCAACGGCTGCCATGTGAAGAGGCGAAGCAGAGTCCTGATGGACCCACAAACACCGGAGTTGGTGACGGTCCCGATAGTGCTAGCTGTTGCCGTGCAGTACCCCCCCCCTCCCCTTCATACCATTCAATGCGTGGCAAGGGTTACCTTGACGAGGCTTGCAGTAGACGCAACTCCGGTATTCTCTTTCTCTTCTGGTGGGGCTCACCACCTCTAATTCGCCGTTCTCTGTTCCATCAAACTGGCGCTGGCTCCGGCGTGGTGTTGAGAAGTGCCAAGGTCCGGTCCAGAAGAATGATGAAGACCTGGCAAGGGGAGCAAGCGTCGGAGATGGCGCTGTGTCTGAACGGATCTGCATGCCGATCAAGCCACTAAGTATTCTTCATCTTCTAAAACCCCATGTGTTGATAGGGCTAGTTGCGCCTGAAGGATTCGATCCCCAGCAAGTGAAACAGATGAGCACGGCAGAGCGTTTCGTAATGCACGGAAAACCGACGGAACGACTGTGAACTCCGTGAAGAAAGAGGATTGGGATTGAATCGGACGACGCTGTGGGAATCTAGGACTTGGATGGAGGGCAGCCATTGGCAAAGATGAGGGAAGGAGGGTGGGTGGCTATGGTTCAGTCGTATTGGGGCACCGGGGAGGAAGGTAGGGCGGGCGTGTTGCCATTCGAGATACGGAGACTTATGAGAAGGCGCCGGGGAAGCTGGACGTAGTATCGTAGAATTTCATACCTCTTAATCCCACTGCTGAAAGCTCTTGGTGTATCAGGATCGAGCTGGAAACCTGGATAGGCCCTTCGATCCAACGCACCGGTGATCAAGTTCTTGATATCATATCATCAACCGCAGTAAATCGGCACAACGTCTCTTGTCTTGTCCCTCTTTTGAAAAATGATACTGAGCACGTTGAGCCCAGAACTCCAGCTGGGAGGAAAGGTGCTTCCGCCTAGCCAAAACGACGTGGAATTGGGCTCATCGGATGCTTGGACGCCCCAGAGTTGGCGAAAGCGTCCGGCGATTGCGCAGGAGATTGAATACAAAGATCCCTTGGCACTCGAGGAAGTCTTGCGCACCGTCGCTTCCTTACCGCCCCTGGTCAGCCCGGTCAAGATTGAACTGGCTCGCAAACACTTTGCGGCAGCGGCTCGCGGGGAAGCCTTCATCATCCAGGGTGGAGATTGTGCAGAGAGCTTCCAGGACGTGCGGCCCCTGATCGTGCAGCAGAAGGTGCAGCTGCTTCACGAACAGTCGCGGCTGATCAGTGACTCCCTGGGCCTGCCTGTGATCACGGTGGGAAGAATCGCCGGCCAGTATGCCAAACCGCGATCCTGTCCCTTCGAAACCCTGGCCGATGGGTCCCAGGTCTACAGCTTCCGGGGCGAAAACGTCAACGGGTTCCATCCAGACGATCGCACACCCGATCCCAACCGATTGCTGCAGGCATATTTCCACTCCCGGGCGACATTGGATCTGATGAAAGCCTGCCCGCCACTGCTGACTCCTCCGTCAGCCGATGCCATCGCTTCGCCGGGAAA